CAACGTAAATAACTGAAGCTAAGCACTTCGTTCGCCCTTATTGGGCCGTGAACTCAAACTTCAGGTAGTTTTTTGAACCTCTCCCCCCATTACTACCTTGTCCTACTTGTTTTGCACTACCTTTATGTCATACGCACATTGCAGCCACGGATTCATTTATTTACAAGCACTTCTGGCAATTAATTACTTTTACATAAAAAAATTACCCTTCTTTCGTTTTGGAATTAGGACGCAAAGGAGAATGGAAGTTAACGACAATTAAACTTGTCCAAAACACGAAAATTCCTCTTTAAAATAGCCAGGAAACAACAATCTGATCCTTTAAACAAAATTTTACCTGTTTAACAAAAAGATGTCAGGCAGTCTTAAAATGTAGAGGCTCTTTTTTCCAACAGGAATTTATTACGAATGACTCAGACCTTCCGAACTTCTAAACTTCCTTAGTAAAATTATTATTCATTGAACTTGGAAATTACAGCAAAATGTTACGTCACTTGTTCTATTGGAATTTGTTTACATGTGTGATTAACTTAGCGGTCAATTAGTTAATAGAAAGTTATTGGTAATTAATGCAACTAAACAAAGTTCATCAGTTTGATTTTTTTGTAATAAAAATGTTTTGCACATCGTTTATTACCGTAATGTACTTTTAACTTCTTAGCGTATTTGCTATGAAACATACTGCTAATGAATTTCTTCAGTGCAAGCACCCATCCTTCCGCCTGAGTCATCTCTACAGAAAATCCTATATAGAAGGCTTTTAACACATTTTTCAAACACAAAAATGCACTTCCGCTAGGTTTTTGTCCGTCCGTTTAAATTATTATTAAGGCGTACATCGTAGGCGCCACAAGGGCGTAAAAACTGCAGGGGAATGCAGGTTGAAAATCGCAAGAGCCACAAATGGTGTAATAATCGCGGTCGTCTTTTGGTCGTCTCTAAAGTTCGCATTTCCAAGTGTTAAATCCAAAACAGCAGACACGAAAGATTTGGAAAATGTGGTAGAAAAACCGTATTTTGTGGGAATTGCGTACATATTTTTGGGATCAAACATGGTTCTGACAGCTGTGAAATATCCAGAAACGTCGAAATTTAACTCGGGGCAAATGCCGAGGTACCCGCAGTTTTGTGTGGAAGCCCTATAGACCTTATATAGCAGGGGTGCTCATTGCTCAAACGGTCGGTCGCGAGTGCTTTTTGAATCGATCTCGACAGATATTTCGATTTTCAAAGCAGACCTACATTTACCTCGACTTACAAAAATTGGATTTTTCGGAAAACTATAGTTAGGAACGATATATTCATGCCCATGAAATTTTGCAACGTCCCTAATATTACACTTCTTGCGTGACGATACGCCCTACCATATTGTAAGTTCTATTCTTACACTATGGCCCTACCCATGGCCTAATAACTCTTATTAGGCCATGGCCCTACCTACCTAGACAACAATAATCCTGTATCCTGCATTACACATACCTGATGCAGCCTCTCAGAATCGATCGATCAGAGTCCAACAATATTTAAGGAGATCGTCAACAGCTCAAGTTTGAGCATTCCTACCTTATAGCATAGTGTAAGAATTACACATCAGTCGCGGATTTACATATAGGCACACTAGGCACGTGCCTAGGGGCGGTAGCTTTAGAGGGCGGCATTTTTTGCAAAATATTTATTTTAGGTAACATTTTGAGTTTTAAAATAAGTCCCCTAACAAGTTACAAATGACAAAAATCTTTAATTAAAATTCGATTCGATAATAATCGACAATGCAAGTTTTGACGTGCGTTGAAAACTTAATCTTAGGTATACTGTATTTCTTTTGATATTACAGTTTTAAAAAATTCAAGTTATAATTTGATTTTTATTAGCATCTTAAAGTTTATTGCAATTAATGGATTATTTTGGGGCGCATATCTTTCGGTGTGCCTAGGGGCGCAAACAATTTAAATTCCGCCACTGACTACACTATGCTTATAGTATCATTTTGTTGGCTTAGAATCGAGACCATCTACAAGCTCTACTCGTTTTAATCATCAGGAAAGATTCCTACACGTGCGTACTTAACAAATGAATATATTAAAAACATACACCCTTTACTTGTGGCATGTGTGTATGTGGAGGAGTGCATTGATGTGTGTGGAGTTTATTTTTTCGTATTAGGGGGATTGTTCCAGTTGTTAGCGCATTATGCCAGACCGTCATCAAATTTCGCTGTCTCGAGTCTCTTTCATGGTATTCCAATTAAAGGTTTCAACAAAAAGAACTGTTTTCTACCAATTACCGCCCTACATATAGGCAATTCACATGGGAAAAGGTTTTTTTGCAGATTGTTGCTTTTCATCTTAAGTTAGAGGGTTTATAATGACACCAATCGAAAGAAGATTTTTTTCTCATCTAATGATATACAAAGTAGCTCTCATTATTTTATCAAAAATTCCGCAATAAATCCGCAATTAGAAAAATCATGTTAAGCCATGGCTAGTAGGCACCTAACATACGACAAAAGGCAGATTCAAACGTTATTCAAGCCGAAATCAATACCCATCAGTTTATGACAAGGACAACTGCCATTAATTTTTTTTCTTATATGTAGGCATTTCTCCGAGGAGAAAGTATTTATAATAAAAAAACGTTTACAGTGGAAATAGTTACTGTAGTGTGCGATATTTGTTTTCGGTGGAGTATGTATCGAAAGATTTTCAATTCTTTAGAAAATTTCCAATTGAGTGCCACAGATATTCTTTACGTATAGGTATGTGTGGTATTGCTAATTGGATTTATTGCGGAATTTTTGATAAAATAATGAGAAATACAACTGAAAGTTAACTAATTCGTATATCAAAATGTTCTTTCGATAGGTGTCATTATAAACCCTCTAAATTAACATGGGGAGCAACAATCTGCTGAAAACCTTTTTCTAATGTATAATTGCAGGGTTCGGTTTTGGAATATTCACCCGGTAGATTAGGTATATAAATTATCACTGCAGCTAGCTCCAGATTTCTCGGATGTCAGAACCCTCGGTGCTCTTTTCTAAAACAAGGGCAAATTCATTTTTTTCACAACACTTGCGATGTTTCTACCAAAAGTTCAACCCAACTCAGTATGCAAGTTTCACAATTTAATCTGTTGAAGCCATGTCGGCCGATTTGAAGGCGTGTATGTAGCAATGTAGCTGGCTTTAGTAATGTGAATACCGCCTTGATTAAGTCATGTGCAATAAACCGTATTGCTAATACATTACATAAACTAAAACCATAACAGACACTTTTATTTGGCCTTATGTATACAGTACACGGTGTCTTTTTAAATTCTCCTTGAAGTTTTCATAAAATGTGAAAAAGTAAACTACTTATAGTGTAGATTTCAGTTTGAGAATTAATCAAAGCACCGAATACGTTAACGCAAATCTTATTTTAAAGAACTCTCATGCATTATAAATTAGTTTAAACTTAAATATTCGGTTTCAAAGTTAGTTCTCGTTAAAAAGCAATTTGTATAAGAGAACTTTAAGAGTAAAGTTGAGAATAAAATTTTTCCAAATTATCATCTTTCAAATTCGCATCGCTTGACTTCCAAAACTATACACTAACACATGATGTCGTGCGTCTCTATATATTTGTTTATATTTACATTGGATTGTTTCCAGAAACTAAAAATAAAAGAAAAATTGTCAGTACCTACCAAAATTATTAGGATATTACCTATTTGTGGCATAGGCACGACACTGTTCGATGTATAATTGTACTTTGCGTATAGGAGCTCCATTTCAATTTTTGACTCATGTAATAAATTTAATGCGTTTTTCTGAAAAGTTCTTGTTCTGTGTAACTATGCATTATGTTATGCATAGCCTTATCAAAGAGTAATATATCTACTTTTGGCGTTACCACTGTACACCCCCAGCTCAAAAATGTTTATTTTCCGAAATGATCGGAGTTACCCTAATCCTTTAGGTGATCTTTTTGAACGAAGACATTTACTATTAGCTCGCTTATGGCTTTTAAAGTATTAGGGTTCCCTTTCCCACCTCCCTATCGGTACAGGATACCTTTATACTAAATCGTGTATTCTTCTAGAATTCAGAAAAAATTCAAGCCAGTGTATATTTGATACGTTCTAGAAATAAAGGATGGATTGGTTTTCTCAATATGCTAAGCGGTTTTCCTTCAATTATGAACATATACACTTTGTTTAAATTCGCATTTGAGATGAGTACAAGAAGGAAAATAAATAAAAAATATTTAAATTGTATACAAAACGTAGTAAAGGTATTAAATAAGATAGGGGTGCATTTCATAATATTTATTGTTAAAAAAAGTCAATTTTTAATGGCGGTAGTTTTTAATGTAAAAGTCTCTTGCCACGGGCGTCGCAAAATCGTTATCTTTTCGAGTTCCATGGCAAGTGGAGTGCTAGTACACTTCTCAATCTCAGTTGTAACTTCTAAGTCGTACAGTTTCCATAACAGTCCGCATGAAAGGTAAGCGTGGTTATAGCTCCAAGCAATGGAGAGGAAGAAATTACCGGAATTAATACCCCCTACATACATACACCTTCAAAGGGCTTGCAGCTCAGGTCAGCGATAGCACACTTTCGATCCCTATAGGTACTTTTACGTACTAGCATAGCTGAAAACCTTCAAAAGGTCACAAAGTACAACGTAATAATATACATATACTAAATTTAAACGTCCACAGCGACACATTGCCACCTTATGTGAATCCGTTTGCAACAAATCCCCTCTCAGTAGTATCACAAAAAATTATGCATCCTTATACTGGTCAAGATACCGTAAAACGATTATCCTATTCGTATTGGGTAAACGCCATAATCTAAGGCCTTTCAACGATTTATTATTGGGAACTTCTTGACTCAAAAGAACAAAGGCACATTAAAGTATTTTCGCGAAACTACCAGAATCTCGATATCTGAGAAGAGAGGATCTTCAAATCTTTTGGGATAGGTACAACTTCAAGGGTAATAAAATAATTAAATAGCATTTCTGAATCTTATTTAAAACAAAATTGAAAGTACTTGCAAAATTAATTGTTACTCAAATGCAAAGTATTGTCTTGATTCCACTGAATATTCGTAATACAAATTATCTTCTGTTACATGATAGTCTTCCGCACTTGATGTTTGTGGTTACTACAAGATTCCAAATTACTAATTTATTGTTATAGAGACAAGCGCTACCTATAGGTATTGTCACCGACTGTTTTTCGCAAATCGTTCCCATCGTCCATTACTTGGTGTGCAGAAACACGTAAATCAGTCACATTATCTACAATTTCTTCAAATGAAAGGGTGTAATTTCTTACCTGTTTTTGTTATAAGTAAGAGTGAGTGAGTTGCATCTACAACCTTAATTTGTTCATCTCCTTCAGAAATTATAGACAAAGTAGGTGTGATTTGTTCCAAATTCTTATTATCAGATAAACAATTTACCATTCGTGGGGTAGCTTCGTCTTCATATTTAACTTCAACTCCAGAGTGAGAGAGTGGGAGTGATACATGCACATTTTCCGTTATCAGAGGAATCATGTACAAACTGCATGCGGACGCTCGGTTCCAAATTAGCGGTATTTTCACCGCTTACCCCTACTGTAGCTGCAGCGTCTACATATACCTTTACAAGGCAAAAGTGAGTCTCTGTAGTGTAGGTACTTACTTTTTTTAAATTGATTTGTGTTCCGCGTTCGAGATCCCTCAGGTTCTGCCATCTTCCAAATTTGATATAAGTACCTACTTCGGAATAAAACTTTATTTACTGGAAGTTTATTGTTTGGTGTCGATTTACGCTGAAGGAACTCTGACTTTCTTGATTAACCCCTTAACAATAGCTTCACTTTGCATCTCTTTGGCTTGATTCAATGTAATACATTGACCGTCATGAGGCGATGCTGGCATAGGCATAGATTGTCCACTGAATGTCACAGTTTCTGTTTCATTGGTTGTACTTTCTGTACACCAACCACTTCCAACTGGTTAAACGTTCTTTGATTTCAGTGTGGAATGGTTCTTCAATGTTTTCACCTTATTGAAATTAGAAACTAAAGGTACTTCTTCTGGCAGTAGCAGATTGCTTACCTTACAATTTTCAATATTATCGTGCAAAATAGTTTGAAGTCGGTAAACATCAATTTGCAATTATTACAAATTGTGTAGGTGTATACGGTTTTCTGCATGTATAGATTATGTAGACATTATAAAGATGTACTCTACCTACAAATTGGTTCTGACGTTTGAATCGGCTTAAAACCTTCTCTTCCACCATTATTCATTATTTTAAACACCCGAGGACTACGATCAACACCGCACAGGCAGGGCCGGTTTAACCACAAGGCGAACATAGGCGGCTGCCTGGGGCGCCAAGCTTCAGAGGGCGCCAAAATTAAGCAACATCTTTCAACGACAGCGCGTCGGCGGCTCCAAAAAACTTCCCGGTACTTTTTAATGACGCTTCCAGTGTCGGTGGTCAGCGGAGAACGCAGTTTCTCCAAGCTAAAGCTGATAAAGAAATTTTTGCGGTCAACAATGTCTCAGAATAGGCTCGTGGACTTGGCAATGATCTCAATTGAATCGAGGGAGGCATGGAATGTAAATTTAGAACAGATAGTCCAGCAGTTCGCGAGAAATAAGGCAAGGAAGATGAATTTTTGATTTTTTATGTGTATATCCCTTCCCTAATATCTTTGGATATGCGTTTTTGTATACCTACACCGCCTACACGTTATGTCGTTATGTTATTATGTATTTGAAGAAAACACAATAAAGTATTTATGAACGCCACTTTCTATTTTTTGCCTGGTACTGGTACCTAGGAATAACCTCCGGAAGGGCGCGCTGAGAACATCTCGCCTAGGGCGCCAAATAGCCTTTCACCGGCCCTGCGCACAGGACACACTCTCGTTTGAAAGAAACCTTGTCTGGTGCAAAGTACCTACATGAATGTTTTTTATGAATACAACAGTTTTTATTACAGGTGCCTCATATAGTCATAAAACATACACATCCTCGTATCTTTGTATTGAGAGCCATCATGTGTAATGTACAACAGGTCAGGAAACTCACCTCCCACAAATTCCACAACTAAAGATATTTTTACAAATTAAGATACCCCAATTCGGATTGCATACACCATAATAAGCTAGGGCTTTGAATAGAAAGGAGTACTTTAAAATGTTTTTGTGGTGCACCTCAGAGCTAACTCCCCCCCTCTTCACCTTCGTTACTACACTAATACTTTAATGGCCCGTAAGTACCCAGTCCGCCCCTGTGTATAACCTTCCTTTTTTACCAAAATTCAACTACACCAAAATTTTTCGGGAAAACACTTTTTCTTATTAATTTGGGTTGGGTGCGTAGAATCCAAATCAATTCGTACTTTTTCGATCAGACTTCTCAATCAAAAGTTATAGACTAGAAACCAATTTCGAAAGAAAATTAAAAGGGCTGTAACTTTTGAACTAGTAGCCCAATCTTGGAACTGTTTGAAATTATGGATTCTACAGGCCACATTCTATAAGAAAATTTTTTTTTCAGGTCGATCTGAGACAATTTATTTTTCGGGGCTCAAAAAAAGGCAGTGTATAACCTTTCTTTTTTACCAAAAATCGACTACACCAAAATTTCTCGGGAAAACACTTTTTCTTATTAATTTTGGTGCGTAGAATCCAAAACAATTCGTACTTTTTCGATTAGACTTCTCAGTCAAAAGTTATAGACTAGAAACCAATTTCGAAAAAAAATTCAAAGGGCTGTAACTTTTGAACTAGTAGCCCAATCTTGGAACTGTTTGAAATTATGAATTCTATAGGCCACATTCTATAAGAAATTTTTTTTCCGGGGCGATCTGAGACAATTTTTTTTTCGGAGCTCAAAAAAAAGGCACCTTCCTTTTTTACCAAAAATCGACTGCACCAAAATTTCTTGGGAAAACACTTTTACTTATTAATTTTGGTGCGTAGATCCAAAACAATTCGTACTTTTTTGGTTAGCCTTCTCAGTCAAAAGTTATAGACTAGAAACCAATTTCGAAAGAAAATTCAAAGGGCTGTAACTTTTGAACTAGTAGCCCAATCTTGGAACCGTTTGAAATTATGGATTCTACAGGCCACATTCTATAAGAAAATTTTTTTTCCGGGTCGATCTGAGACAATTTTTTTTTTCGGGGCTCAAAAAAAGGCAGTGTATAACCAGGGGCGCACTGGCCCGGGGGGGGGGCGGGTGGCGATTGCCACCTGGCCTGTAGATCATAATGGCCCGTTGGAAATTTATAAGTATGTGCTGTATTTAGTTTCTTGCACTATTAATAAATTATTAACACGTTTCTCTAATTGGGGTTGATGTTAGGTTGTTAAAAAATTCTGTTTTAATTGAAGTGTTTTACAATGAATTTATCATTTTTTGTCGTAGTATGAAAGTGCTGAAATACAATGATAGGCGACGCACCTCGTGTGGATTGTATATTTTGTTACTTTTAATTATCAGCTGCAATTTAAAAAAAACTGTATGGTAATTGATTTTCGAGAAAGGAGTACTTTAAAATGTTTTTGTGGTGCACCTCAGAGCTAACCCCCCCCCCCTCCTTCATTACTACACTAATACTTTAATGGCCCGTAACCTATGCAATTCCACCTGGCCTGGCCCGCAGTTACTCAGCCGCCCCTGACTATGACGCTACCTACGCGTTCGAATAACACAGTGCTCAATCATTTTGCTTGCGAGGAGCTTTGGATTAGTATCATTTTACATTAAGAATTGGCCCATCGCCCTGCCGCATCCGTATCCTAAAATCATCCACGCAACCCAGGCATTTTGTCCTTTATTCGAGTTCCATGGCGGATTGGTCGTACTGTCTAAACAACAGACTAAAAAAAATTTGTGTATGTAGCATTACACAGAGCTCCATCTCCACCTGTTAGCTGCTAATGACTAAAACACCCACCCGCCCTTAGAAATTGGAGAAACTGGTGAGATTTTTAGAATCTCGACAGAACAACTTTGTCTGAATAGCCAAACAGGGCAATCTTCCCCGCATATGGGTGGGTGCACATTTAAGATCGTATAAGGTTGTGCATAATGGGCTTCGGGCTAGAAGTAGTCAAATAATATGTGGTGTGGAACCTCAGATCATTGTGGGGCAAATATAAACAGACACTGTATCTTCTATACCGCTATGTAAAGGAGCGACGTCGAGGAAGGCTGAACGTAGTGGGGAAGAAACGTATTCTAAAGAGACTTTAACAAGTCACAACTGCCCTTATATACATATACAGGAATTACCTATTCAGTTTAGACTTTTGCTGTTCCACTCGTAAGAGTCAACTGTATCAGTAATTGAATAACACAAAAGCCCCTCAATGTTACATGATTGCGATATAAAGGACTCTCTCTTGGTCTGTCCAGAACCCAGAATTACTAATACGCAGGTATCGAAAAAGAACATGTATGATATGGTATGGGCTACGCGAACCTGTGCCACATACAATTGGAGAAAATAATACCTGCATATGAATATTTTTTCACGCATCACACTCATCTTCTAGAGAGCAACACTGTCATTATAGGACGCTGCGGGATTTAATATTGGTGCTGGAGAAAGGGTGTGTATTCACATCCCATCGAACAACCGCAACTATTAACATTTATTGTATCAATTAAAACAACTTGCTTTATACATCAGTTTTATATTTCATACATAAGTAGGTACATAGTAAGTACATCACCGACCATTTTTTTTAATTTTCAATGCAAAATATATGTGGTACAAGTACATACGCTTACTTACCTACATTTATCTTTTTTTCATATTGAAGATGTCAAAAATAAAAAAATAATCAATAAACATATCACAGAGGTAGGTATTTTACATTACATTATCGTCTGCCATGATAGTTATAACACTAGTGGCAGATGGAGACTGATCGTGAAAATACTGAAACACATTGTTTTTGTCGCCACTTAACGATCGTCGTAATGTTCTATTTGCTGAATACGCATGTCCACACTTACTGGTTAGCGAATCAAGTTCATGGGTGTCACATAGTGTCAGTGATGTTCGTCTTTCCCTTGTTGCTTTTTTAGAACCAAAGTAACAAAGTAATTTTGAATAATGGAATTGGCCGAATTGATTTTCAGGTCCAGCAACTGCCAATAATGAACCTAAATAGAAGGTAGCATACAGCCAACTGACACTCATTACTGTAATTAAAAATATTCCGATTTGTATGTACGGTAGTATAATTGACGGCATCATAAAAGCGCCTGCTGCGCTAGTAGTAGTAGCAGCCATTAGTGACGGCCCCACCATGTTAGCGAGTGCATATCGAGTACTTTTCACACGATTGTCACTAGTGGGGCACAATCTATAATGCACAGTGTAATGTAGACTGAAATCTACTGCAAGTCCAATCGCTGTTGAAACAGCGATTGACTCTAATACATTTAATTTCCAGCCTAATGACACTAAAATTGCCATTATAACAAATATACTGCACGTGATGGTTAAGATGGCGTAAAAACTAGTTAGGATATTTAAAGTGGCCACCAATAAAACAACCAGGGCCAAACCCATCGAAATGCCAATTGCAGCAATGGTGCCTTGTGACAAGACATGTTGTAAATCATAAAATTCCAAGTCACTAACGAACCATCCCCTTTTCATACTCGTCGGCGCACTCCTTAACTGTTCATTCATCCATTCTTCAACTTGTGTAAAAAAAGTGTGCATATGTTCGTACGACATTGAGTATGAATAATTGCTATCATATTCAACAACAACAGCTTTTATTGTCGGAAACTGGTCTTTAGAAAATTTCGGACCAGCCATACCTGGGATAAAATATTCCGATGGAGTTTCATACAGATCACTCATTGCATACACAATACATTGATCAAATACAGTACTATTGTAAGGGAAATGTTCCTTTTCACAGCAAGGTCTACGATCCATATTATCAATAGGATCTACACATCGCCGCTGCATCCATGACATGAATGATTCAATAAAACAATTTGGCAGCAGTGCACCTAATGTTGTTTGATAAAAAGGCTGCTTTCGAATTGCACGGCAAAAATTTAAAAGCCAGCTTTGAGATTCCTTTTGAGACATATTAAAATTCGAATCTAATTGAAGTTTTCCTAATGATTGTGGGTCTAAGTAATTGCCATTGTCAACAGGTAATACCCCCCAAACGAAACGTAAAGGCAGCTTGTAGTTTGCAGGGTTTCCATTACCACTCTGAAAGAGATACAAATATTCATACATTGGAAAGTGAAATTTTAAAAGTACAGCTTACTGACGGTTCTTACCTTTTCAGAGCGTTCGAACCAGAAATGATTTTTGTAAATCAAATCATATTTTTCAAATGGATGCGAACTCTCAAATAATTGAAAATCGGGAGTATTCGGAAGTTGCAGCTTAGGATAGTACAACACCATAACAGCGCTACAAATGGCTACAGCTGACAGGAATATTAACCAAAACAGGCGAAACTTTATCACAATATCTGCCACCAGCTGATCTTTGTTATTCCACAGCGATATAAAAAAGCTGAACTGGTACCTCCAAAATTGCTCCAAACATTTCCAGTATGTTATCAATGGTGATGAGCGGAAAGTAAAGATTGTTGCGCACTTGGTCTGGAATCTTTCGGCAATTAATATACTCGCAGGTAACCATGACATCATCAATATGCAGTTAACAATTATGGTAGTTGTTGCGAAAACACTTAAATAAAAGAGAAATCACATTTATGTATTTAAACAATCACACACGTACAGGAGGCAGATGTTTTGCAATTAGCTTGACCATATAACCCCTTGTTAAAAGAAAAGACCTGTTCAATGATTCCTTTCAACACTGCAACCTCAAACTTCCTAGTCTGTTAATGTCACGGACGTAAACTTTGGTAGGTATTCTTTATCTACACTGAGAGGAGGGTTTGAGATGTTGACACAGAGTTGAAAAAAAAACAAAGTAAATTAATCAGTGGTGATTTTAAGAAGATTGTCGCATGTGAATACAAATTCTGTTTGAGCAGGTCATAGTGAAAATGAATAGAGAATAGAGAGCAATAGATGGTATGGTCAAATCAGTTGCAAATTAAAGTTTTCTAACATCTTCCACAGCTATTTGATTTAACAACTAACCTAAATCATAAACTACACATTTCTTCTCTACCTTACGTTTTACATTAACACAACACTCACCTGAAACAACGTATCGCTGTTATAGAACTAATGTACGATGCTAAAAAAGCGGCGGCCGTTGTGACCGAAGTAATCAACATCGAAACTAATGCATGATCAAATGCGTCATTAACCATTTGGATAACTGAATTTTCTTTCTGTTTCTTTGAATTATGCCATGCTTTGCAGAATATGAAGACATCATCAGCTCCAATGCCTAACATCAATTAATTATGCGTAAAAACCGGTTAGCGTTTTCAATAGACTTACCAATAGTAACAATTGTAGCTAACAAATTCATAAATGGAAAGAATCTCAGTTCAAAAACAAGTGTATACACGAAATATGAAATGCCAAGTGAGAATAGGATGGCAATCACAGTCATGAACGTAATAAACAAAGACCTGGTGTAGAACCAAATGCATAAAAATACAAACACTCCCCCTGCAGTCATAAACCAAGCATCCTCAATTAAGCACCTGTCGAATAAAGCACTTTTGATCCCAAATTCTATGGCAACCAAAGAAATCCCATGAAACTTTAAATTTACATCTTTTAAATCTTTGTAATACTCTAAAGCAGCTGTGCTACTAGCAATAGGTAAAAATATCATTGTTTCTTTTAACTCAGTCTTCATTATTTCCTAAAAAATAATAGGCAAATTGAATTACAAAACACAACTGTATTAAACCTACATTAGGAGGAAGGAAGGAAGTACTTGTTAAAAAATTTAATATGTTGAACACAGCGTTATTCTTCACACAGTCTACAGGAACTTTACAATGCCCTCGTTCATAACAATCTGGAGCTAATTGTAAATTATGGTAGTATTGTGAACAGGACTGTAACAAGTTTTTCATATTCTGGATATCTTCTTCCTGTAAAGGTACCAGTCTCAAAATCCCGCACCAACTCACATAAAACAAAATCTTAAGAAATGTGTTATCGCTGCATTTAAAAAAAGTACCTATATACATTGGCGCAATGACGGTTACGCTCGCATGTAAGTATGATCCTCTTTATTTTGCATTCTTTTTACAAGTTGAACCATATTATTTACGTGCTTTATTATTTATAATTCCTTACAAATTGGTTTTCATTGTGCATACCTACACCACAAACACATATGCTACAACCCTTCATGGTATTCTAATGAAAGGTCTCTACAAACTATAACTTCTCTCTGTGACTCCTTACAACATTATATTCTTTCAGTTTACCCAAGTTGATTTCTGGTAATATTTGCCAATTTTAACTAGCACTACATCAAGATTTTTTTAAATACTTCTTATGTTTAAGTAAAATATGTAATTGAAAATTAAAGTCATTTATATTTTAATTCCAGTGGTGGCTATAATTGCCAATATTGTTTCAACAGATGTGGTAGTGTAAGGATAATTACTGGTGGTCACGAGTTAGCCGATTCACATTCATAAGGGACTACAGAACAGAAGGGTAGGTATGCAGCGCATGAGTGCTGAGCAGAGCAATACAATAAATTTTGATATGTTAATCAGCTATTTTCTTATTCTTTTGTCTGTCGAATGCAAAAATGTAAAATTATACAAGGTATACCATTTAAATTTAGAGAACCAGAAGAGCTAGAAAGATACTATTAGTATTAAATTCGATTTTACAACCGCTCACCACAGACTTTTTATATTCGTATCATTAATTCTACCAAAATTGCAGGGGTAATAGCCTAGCGGTGTATGGTGCATGTAAACGTGGCATATACAGCTACAATCAATTGTTTTTTGTTTCTTTGCTATATACAATTTATCAAAAATGACTTCTTGTAGTATGAAAAGCAACAGAATAGTGAGTGAAGATTGTAATACCGAGAATTGTTGTGTTCACATGATCATATGCCTAAGACACACAGGATTAATTACTGAACAAACTGCCGAATTATGAAGATTGTATAAACAAAAATCAGAACAACTGAAAGCAGATAGACAGATCCGAAATGCAAAGGAAAAACTGATGAAAGAGTTATTCATGACACAGCTGTTTTAGTTCTTTATCATAAACAGAGTAATTTGATTGGCTAAAGGAAATAGCCATCAATTGATGGATTAAGACTTTAAGAGCAGCGAGCATGTACATATGCAATGCTCTGCTGTGTAAATGGTAAATGATAGAGAATATATTTCAAAGTGAGAGATAATTAGGATCCTCAAAGTTTTGCAAAATGGTCTTTTTGTATATTTAAAGACAGGTTTAGCACAACTTTAAATTTTGCACTACAGAATTACGGCTAACTTACCACAATTGCTAAACAAGAAGTTCTGTTATGTAACTGAGCAATATAATTAGAAAGAGACCAAGGTTTACAACATTTCTTCGGTCTTTTGAATGGATGCAAGCACAACTCTTTATAATACTGGGCTTGCACTAATTCATATTCCAATCTACACAGGGCTGACAATGACTCCATGGTAAATAAGTCTGCATCCATATCAGATTTTAATACTGCATGCGCATAGTCATGATCTAAAAAAGTACACATCTAGGTATAGAATGCTTACGTGTAATGATAGTTTAGTTACCGGGTTGACCACAAAAGTAACCTTCCTTTGCTATGCGATGTGTATTGTGCTGTCCTGGTGACTTATGCTTAATGAGATTTTGCAATGTGAGCCAATTGTTCTTTTCACTTTTACGACTAGTCTCATTGTAAACATTAATAAATATCTAAAAATAGTTGTTAGCCTCCTACAAAAAATATAATAGATTCTCCGTACATTGGGCGAAGACTCATTTAAGGCTTGCTTAAAATTATTTCTCGTACTGTAATCTTTTTGTTCCAAAAATTCTTTAGGATTAACTGCAAAAGGTCCCGAGAATTTTGTCGATTTTTCCAAATTTTTCCAAGTCGTTAATCTACTGGACAGAACGGTTCCTCGTGTTTCAAAACCCTGCACAGAATTTTTTCTTGTTAAATCGTTATTATAATTACAATATAAAATTAACTTACCATTTGTGGATCAGAAAAGTCCGGGAGAGATTTAAGGGTAAAAGGAATAATAAGGCAGGTGACAGAAAATACAAGCACTCCAAAAAGAATGACCAAAGGATGATGTATTAAAATGTGCGCTAGCCAGTGAAAATTCATAGTTAATCCTCTACACACCCAACAGAAATTCAAAATAATGAGAACTGCCCTGCCATTTACCTGGCCATCCTTCAGACATCCCCAGCAGTAACTAACGGTAACCTACACCATTTTAGAGTCGTAAATGCGTCTAGAAGGACGAAGAGATGCTCTCAGATTTCATCTCAAAGAGTGAGATAGTCACAGTAAAGCAAAAAAATCTTGTATATATAACCTTGAGCAGGTATTCAAATACAATACAATACATTAAAAAAAAAAGTGCTTCTATAGGGGTTGGGGGTAGCTATAGCCCGTTTATAAATAGTACGCGCAGTTTTCCGGGATTGCGCGCGAATTTAAAAAAATGGAGGACAAAAATAGAAGCTTTCGCTCTAATCGTTAAATGTGACTAAACAAAAAACAAGCCCGGCTAAAACGTTCAAGGTTCATTACTCAAATAAATATTTAATTATGCTCGCGCAATTAAACAGACGAAGATGTATCTGCTCTAGGTGCACCAGGAATAAATTAAAATGCCATAAATAAGAGAAAAAGTCAAAATCATTTTAGGCGCGAAAAAGCTCAATATTTCAACAACTATATTTTTCATAATGGCGTGCTGTCTATTTATCTGTTGCATTGTAAATACCGTGCTTACAATTATATATCAAACGGAGTTATCAATCATCAATTTAAATTTGTTCTTTAGATAATAATTGCTAGGAGCGGCATCCGAGATTATTTGACTTCCTGTTATCCTGCTAGTACTTCTCTGCGCTGATAATCTTTTATAATGTCTACGGTCAGCAATTTTTAAATATTAAAATTTTTTTCCGTGGATATACGTATATTGGGCATATGGAAACGATAAATAACGGACCGGATTAAAAAAAATAATTTGGAGCGTCGCAACGCCATCGAACTTTTTTCAAATAATTTTAACTAAAATATTTTTGTTGGCAAAACGGTTACTTCGATTTGATTTTTATATCTGAATTTTAAGCGCCGTTTAAGAATTAAAAATGTGCTATTGTTTGCGTTTTGTCCGGACCCACATCTGCGACTTTGAACTACTTTTAGGAGAATGGTTCTAGAGTCCTGGAATTTTTTGCAATACGTAGCCTATACAAAGGTGTGCGACGACCAACTGGTCTCAGATTTTGCATATGCATATACCTTTTGTGCCACGTAATTTTTTTTAAAATGGGGCGGGGGTAAACACAGGTTCTACCCTTCATGGAATTCTAATCCATGGTAGTTTTGTAAGTGCATAGGGATAGACCACGCATGACTCACACTATATCTTTTATACAGGATAATTACATAGATATACACAGTTACAATTTAATAGATACTTTATTACAAGTGAATTAGCTAAAAACAGCGTGCAAACATTTTTTTCCAATTGCAGCAATCATTATTACGAGTTTGATTTCAAGATCAAGGGGTTGGAAACTTTGAATATATTAGGCAACATAGTAGTTAATGATTGAAATACGTCGCTGGATATTCCCTGAAACAAGAAAATAGTACTTCATAGGTAAACTACCTGATTAAACCTTTGGCAAAAGAAATTGTAAATTTTTTAAATCTGATCCTCCCCAAGACGCCATTTCAATCATAAATCCTTTGACACATTTAAAGACGAGTTCAGCTCTCTTTGTGCACCATGTAACAGTCATTCCCTATAAAAAACAATTTGAATTAAACCGCAGGAATATTTCAACACATTTACCTCCGACATTTCATATTGTAGTAAAAGAGGAATTGTGAGGAAAGTGACATCATTAGAACAAGCCGATTTGAGTATATTTCTGAGACCCAAAACCACTGGGTGGCGGCTGTTGATATCGTTTCCGTATAAACTATCGTCAGATACCATATGAAATATCACATGAACTTGGGCCAAGTTGGAATGTCTTGTAATGTATACATCTCCTGGTTGTAAATGCTTACTGTTTGCAATCTTTGCAGTGTTGTCCGTTTGATATTTTTGTACAGTGGATGATACACGTTCCAGTTGATCGTCAATGTAAGGAAAATGAAACTCTGTCGTTCGTTGACAAATTTCAGTAAATTCTGCAAACAACATGTGGTATTATCATTGAATAAGTAATTATAATTACTTATTCAATGGCATTATATATTGAAATAATGCATCTAACAATTTTCTTATTTATAATTTTTTGGAAATTTTAACCACAGATGCTTCTAGTAAAGACAAGTACAATTTGCTTTTTCAATCTATAAAAATTAATAATTTAATTCTTTCATTTTTATGAATAGGCCAATTTGTTGAAAAACGCACTACCCTACACACCTTATTCGGAAGAATGTAAATAATCAATAAAATACAAATTCAGATGACATGAAAAGTGAGCCAAAATTTGTGAACAAATCGTCAAGCACATTTTACTTCCAACATTTTTGGTATATACCCTCGCCAACGTTCGTATTTACAAATGGAAAATACGCTTAGGGCGAAAACCTTTTTTATTTATTTTTTAATTCTTGTAAGCAGTTTAAAAAAATGTTGACTAACTCATGGGAGAGATAATATTTATGTCGCCGAAGATGCGTTTGCGTCATAATAAAAGCCCACCACTGTAGCATTTTAATAGAAGTATTTAAATGTTATTTACGTTAGCTATCTTACTATCTAGTGTATTATAGCCTTTAAATGATCTGATTACTAAATAATACAGTGAACTGATCATACCAACCTTTACAAAGTCGTGATCCAATAACATTATCAGTCATGAGAACTAATCCACACAAATCGTTGGAATACAATCCTAAAGCAGTCTGCAGCAACTGAGGCGTTGTATCAGCTCTAAAAACAAATTTAGATGTACATTACAGCAGTGGTATGTAAGGAACTGAAAGAAGCTTACAATTCTTCATTTTCTTGTATGGCACATAAATCCATTACATCAGCCGAGAGTATTCGAATATTATGCATTTGTTTCAATTGCGAACCTAAATGTATAGTGAAACTTTCCTCTAAAATCGACGTTTGATGTTGGTTTTGGTTCTGACGTACATTACTAAACAATGGACTTGGTATACTTGATATTGATGGAGACGTTCTAAAATATTTTCGTTACTTTGGCACGAAACTTTGCATGTCATACTTAGACAGTAATAAAGAATTGCTTGCTTGACTTTCTTCTAACATTTGCATCAACCACTCTCTGTATTCCCTCCGCTGTGTCTCCTTTATTGTTTCTAATTCACTGGTGAGTTGCACACGTAAAAAACTTTGATCTTCAAAATGTCGAGTAGCCATTTCATTTATTTCCAATTCGGTAATTCCAACCTCTAGCTGATCAACTGCTTGACTCATTTCTTCAGTTTGCCTACAAAAATTGCATAGCAGCGGCTCATTCACAAAGGACTTACTTCTCAGATAAGTTTTTAATTTGAAAATCCTTTTCATTGACACGTTCTCTAACTGAGATGGCATACATGCACTCCAGCTGAAGCATAGTTTCAAGTGCAGGGGAATGCACCAACTTGTGATAAGCTGTGGCAAATAACTCCTCATCAGAAGCACACCTACGATCTCCATACTCTACAGTTTCCTATTCAAACAGTCTTCTCATTATCAATATCAACGCGACACAATTTCAGTACCTCTTTTATTAACTTATCCCACTCTTTGGTAGTGTCCTCAATAACTGGAAGGTTTTTAAACTCTTGTAATAACTTTGTGGTTCTCTCATCGTAGTACTTTAAATTCAACTCTTTGATAAATTCACATAACTGTTCCGTTAAGTCTGAAAAAACAAATTTCAAACATTTATGCAGTTTATAGAAAAATAATAAATACCTACAGTTGCATAAATGGGTAAATTGTTTTTAAGTAACAAAATTCGAGACAACTCTCGTAGTGATTCCGAATTTGGAAGACTTATGGGAAAACTTACATCGGCTAGATTACCATCTTTAGGTTTATAATGAAATATTCTGGATTCTTCCATACCTACTTTAAAGGTAAAAATATTAATTATTACAACGAAATATTATATTATATCTTAGGTTATGTTCCTACATAAATAAATCACCTTTGTATTTTGATGGGAGGTACAGTGTTCTACTGTCAGCTGAAAATTATAAATGGAAGTACACGTATTTATCAAAAGAGGGCGCAGGCTTTAAAAAGGATAGAATTTCGAAAAAAATTCAAAAGAAGCTCTATACAGCACATTTTTTCCATTCACATTACTTTTTTATTGGGTATTAGTTAGATGTGCATGCAAAGTTCAAGAACTGCATGCGTTTTTAGTTGCCCTATTAATATTATTTACTCTATGCCTATTATACAACGGGACAAAGATGACATAATAATTACTCTTTGTCGGGACGACCTTTGATTATATAATAATAGTCTATATTCAAAGGGTAATACCATTGTTTATTAATAAACAAAGGTAATACACTCTGACTCCTTCGAGAAGTACTGAAGTAGAGCTGTGTTTTAAAATATCCATGAAAAGTGCTCACAAGTTTTGAGCACCAAGCTCTTCGTCGATTATTTTTAAAAGCAATCTACAATGGCACAGCCCCAATCTTTTTAGCACATTTTCCAACTAGTTCTAAGTACATAAGTTCTTCTCTAGTTCCTTGCCAGTATCGGTCTACATCTATTCAGACGAGATAGTAGATATAGTAGGTGAAAATAGTACCTATGTCTTAACTGTTTTAAGCTCGTTCCAAGTAAATTCCAAGTATCCTGGAATCTTGAAACTTAAAATAATCACGTCAACATAAGAAAGTCGTTTAAATGGCATCCTGCCATCACTCTACAGTTACACCCATTCTAGCTTTTCCCTAGGAAAATTCCAGTTTCCAGAATCCACTGGAGAATAACCGTTGAATGGAAAAACGCTTATCTTTCGCTTCCTATTTTTGTACCTATACTTATACATTTTCCGATCCTATATATCAAAGTCAATCCGATGCCAGAGAGATGTTTTCGAGCTCAAAATAAATATTTCAGTTACCTACTCGTTACAGTTAGATCTGATACTTGAAACGCCAGTAACTTGAATAAATGTGATGAAATGTACATTGCAATCCTACGATAACATGTGCCTCCTTGTAGGTAAATACATAAAGAAAAAAAAATAAAGTCTTTATTGTAATAGTTATCGATAAATCGATTTTTCTACTCCTAGGCATTGTTTAAAAATGCCCTAGGTAAGTACCTGTTGTCATTCAAGATATAGATAACTATCGATATATCGAAAAAATTCCAATCCCTTTACGCAACTATTATAGCCCAGTCAATTTAGACCAAAAATGGGCAATCAGAGGAACTAAAAATACTAGTTCCAATTTTTTCAGAAATGTGTAGGGAGAGGTTCCCTGGACAAGAAAAAATAAAGTCCCACCAAATTCCGGTGCCGCTGGGGGAAGGGGGGGCTTTAAACGACCCATTTTTCAGTTTTTTGCTTTTAACTTGAAAATGGTGCGTTACACTGAAAAAGTTCTTCAGTACAAAATGAAAGCTTATTAAATTTGCTACAAGTTTGGTTATATACATTTTTTCGAAAACTGAACCGTTTTATGGTATTAATGTCCTCGTACCCATCGAATACAACTGCACAATTGGAAGAATAGTGATTTATTATACATGAAGCATACTGCTCACAGATGAAAGAGAAAGTGGTCCCAACATTCCACTTGACTCTGTGAAGGAGAAAGCCATCGTCCACTACAGTGTAAATCGTTTTGAGGTTCACTGCATCCATGCACACAGGGAAAGCCTAGTAGAGAGCAGATTTCTTCGTTTTCCTGAAGCATCCTTCGTGGAATAGTCATGGGGTATGGAAATAACTCGTACTTCAACAGGTTCGGACTATAGGCCTAGCTATAGGGATGTTAATGCTGTACAGGTTTTAGTGTGACGATTTTTCCCTAAAATGTCCGGGGGAGGATTTAGAAGCCAAAACTATACGAAAAACGTGAGTGGAAAACAATTTTGTTTAGAAATTACCACCTTTCCGGAGCCGGTAGCACGAAAACGGTTCAGTTTTTCGTAAAGATGTATATAACCAAACTTGTAGCAATTTTAGTAAGCTTTCATTTTGTACTGAAGAACTTTTTCACTGTAACACACCATTTTCGAGTTAAAAGCGAAAAACTGAAAAATAGGTGGTTTAAAGCCCCCTCCTTCCCCCAGCGGCACCGGAATTTGGAGGGACTTTATTTTTTTTTGTTCAGGGAACCTCTCCCTACACATTTCTGAAAAAATTGGAACTAGTATTTTTAGTTTCTCTGATTTTCCTATTTTGACTGAACTACTACTCAAATTAAAAGATAATTGAGAGATCAATATTTTGTCATATAGATAGGTACTACATCATAGTGATCGGTATAGTATCAATGATTATATTCATATACCGTTATCCTTAACTGTTCATGCCGTGGTAGGCAAAGTGAGAACGATATAAATATACATAACGAAAATAAAGGTGTTGCGTGGTGTCGCATCGCACCGCACGTTGTCTAAGTACGATTTGGCCTTTAACTTATGGCCCCCAAGGCAGGCTACATCCAGATATTTTTTTTGTTCCCTTGGGTATTAGGTAGAATATCTGGTCATGAAAACAATTGAAATAGAATTAATCTAGACTGGCCCGAACTAGAAGAGGTGAAATAGCGCTCAGATACATAAAAATCGAGTGTGTATAATAGTCTATGTAGACAAAGCCCATGATACTTGTAGCATTGTTTAAATACTTATTTTTATTTAAACACAATATACCTGGATAGTTATAAATTCAATGCCTGTAGCACATAATCTGTGCCTGTAGTATCATGGACAAAGCTTACTATAGATAGTCTCGCCATCTAGTGTTGTATAACTTAATTGCCGGATGGCGGTGCTCTGGATTCATTTTTGACATTTTAATGGCGATTGCTTTGACGCCATTGTTCATTTAGTTTGTTTTTATTACTAATAGCTTTTTCGTAATTATAAATGTACAGGTGCTAAGTAGAGAGACTTATAGATAAAAGAAGGTGCGAGCTTTGTAAACGTAAGAGTTGCAATATAAAAAAACCCTTAAATAGTATTTTGCAGGAGTGGTTTGGTTTCTTTGGCCTGGATAACTTAAAACATTCGAACGAGGTTAAAACACGGTTTGTGAAACTTGCAAAGCCGAACACAATGGGGGTCTAGAAGCGTTTTTTGTTATCCAGATTTGAAGATTTTCAATCTTGCAATGAATGTTACAGCTTCACATTCAGACTATAGTGATTGTGAGGCCAATAGTGTTGCTTTAGTGATGAAGTTAACTTTTATTAGTAAGGTGTTACACGGACTTGTGATTTTTAATAGCAATGGGGGAGTATGCACTTTACAAGGCTCTCTTGAATTCAATACCATCAGCGAACAATGACGGAGCTTTACAATTCTTAAAAGACGATGTATTTCAAATACGTGTGCAATCACCTTTTGTTGAGAGTTCATCGCACCGTCAAGGATGGTTGTATGCTTATAACAGACGTACAGGAGCAGAGGGTTACGTACCAGGTAACACTTTTGTTTATATCAGATAATTATCAGTTTTAAGATGCATTTCAAATGTACTGCTCTTCTTCGCTGGATATTATACTTATTTCTTCATAATTGTTCCATGTTTGGTTAATATTTCATGTTGAGAGCAATAGGTGAGTATTTCTTCTCACGATCAAGAGAGAGGAATATGGACAGAGCCACATTTGCTTGGATGATTTTCACAAAAACACCTGAATCAATCAAATGATTCACAATAGTCATGACAATGCAATAACTGAATATGGTAATTGAGCTTCAAGTCTTTGTGTTCAGATGATATCGAGTCAAAGAACACATGTAGCTATAACCTGATTGCCAAAATTTGGAAGTGGTAGTCATAACATAAGCAAAACCCTCGGCAAAACCGTTTGTAATGTAGAGAGGACAGTCACATCAAAACTGATAATTTCACCAGCAAAGTAGATGCCACCTGCCAATCCAGAAAATCTGCAAGATTTGTTCTATTTAAGCAAGGGGATTGTTTTTTAATGTCCAGTGGTCACTCTCTTTTCAATTGATAGACACAATTTATTACCAATTTGGATCGATTTAATTACTACTACTCTGTAGAGCCCTTTAAAAAATTTAGTTTCGTGTTCATTGTTGCACAAATATCAAAAAGAGATGATTACTGATTACCATGCACACATGAGGTAAAGCGCAGGTTTGTTACAGTCTTCAGTTTTCATAAAATGTACGAAAGCAATCATTTTAAGCATGATAAACAGTGGATTAGAAGTTTAGTTACCAAATTCGGCACAAAAATTGCCAGACAACAATAATTATGAGCTGAAGGTGACATTCCTTCACGTGCTAACACCCTCTCAGTGTCACATTCATTGAAAAATAAGATTTTGAAACGAGAATAATTTCTCAATTTTTTTCATTAAGCTAACTGAAGTCGAATCAACAAATTCTCCTTTTCAGTCCACACTTTTACGAAAAAGAATTAGTCCAATTTTCAAATAATTGATCTATTAGCGGGTTTGTTTTTCATTCGTTACAAATTAGAGTTATACAGATAACAGAAACATTCAATAGTGATTTTTTCTTAATAATTTTCCTGCCTTCGAATTTTCGTTAATAAAGTTGATTGTTTGACATTCCGTAATTGGTGGTGATTTTTATGCTTGAGAATGGAACTTGATTATAATTAGCTTTATCATCTTAATTTTGTTTTTCTTTAATATACTTTCTGATTTCTATACAACTTGTTTGTTTGTGAGCTATTTTATTTAATTCGGTTAACCTTACTCGCACTGCATGAGCTCTGAAGTCCTTCATGATGCGCAAGGTTGTTTTTTTGCGATTCTTTTTTATTATTAAAAATTTAATGTAGATCTCTTTGGTTCACATTTTTACAATGTGCACTGCTTTATTGATTTTTAATAAATAAAGTGCAGCCAGTTGTTCTCTACTCCAGGAGCAGGTCTCTTGTAAACCTTACAATGTATGTAGGTCTTCCAGGGACAGATCGGATATCCTCCTGCGGCCCTGGGCGTTCTAGTGTGTACTGCCCTCTAGTTATCATCTCAATGAGCGGATGTCAGGTAACAGACCGGGGGACTAGTTGGTAAAAATCGAGGTAAAAATGCAAAGGGTGTTCGAAGTACATCTTCAAAATGAGACAGAATATTCTTAGACCCTCCAAGTGACAAAAGTTAGTAGTGGTTTACAATGACTATTTATGCTGTTCAATTTATATTAGGAGCATTTTACATGTCCTCTATCTTATTTACATTGGCGAACTGGGTCAATGGGCCTTGAGTCAGTACCATAGTCAGTAATGTTTGTGTATGCGCAACATAATTAATGTCAAAGTAAGAATTCTTTCGAGTTCTCAGTGAACATTTTACAAAATTCACCGAGCACACCTTGTGAGCAAGTGGTAAACACTGAAAGACACAGCAGATAGTTAATAATACCAATTCCGATTTTGAATACTGGACTTGGGAGAAAGTCAAAATCATGTAATTTAGTAAGTCGAGTAGTAAACATTGCATACTGCCAAAAGTAGCAGTACTTGGTGTACCCCTCCTGTCCTGCCAGTGATTCTGTGTACTGCCGATGTACTACCCGGTCTTGCATGTGTAATACCAGGTCCTGTTTGCATACTGCTACTGCCATAAAAAATGTTATACTTTATTTACAACGCTAAAAGGTACTATATTTAAAGGAACATCTAATTGCCTTGTATTTGTTATTTATGTATTTTATATATGTATTATATACCAGTTGTTCTATTTCACAGTTCTTTAAATTAACAACGATCATTGTGATTTTGGCGTAGTTTGGCTGATGAATATACGTATTTCGTGTTGATAGTACGCGTGCCGCCACTGGCTTCTAGACATGTTTTATAGTAAACACAACTGCTACTCATACATGTAAAAGGAGGTATGCACTATTCCACTATTCGTTGCTGGTTTGAATTTTGATTACTTGTTACGTAATACCTAAGTACATCGAATTCCTTGCAGATAAAGAATTCTTAGAAATTTGCGGAGATGTATGAGAATTCTTAATATTTTGCTTTAACGCTAGAATTAGGATACGTATAATTTCCTACATTGTTGTATTTCTACTTTCTAAATGAATCGATTGATAAAATCGTTTTCAAGTTTGATCCTGTTTTTCGACTTGTCGGTACCTTTTCAATCTACTTATCCTATCTCTCCATTGATAATAATGGGCTCAGTTATTTTAAAATTATCGGGCACTTACAAGGCGTTCAAGTTTTTTTTACTCCGTCTCATTTATTTTATGCAATTCCGTGTCTGCCATTCCAGTGACAAGTATTTAGTTTCGTCCATCAAAACTCCACGTCATTGTCAGCATGTTTGTAGTAGTCATATCGTGTTTTGAAAGATCGCATAAACGATCTGGCGCCATACACGCGTAATTGCAGATTTTCTGCTCTCATTTTCAACAAGTGCTGAGTTTGCATTTTAGTTTTGCGTTCTTGTAATTCGGTGGAAACTCGGTACACTGTCCCTAAAAAAGAGGAGAATCCGTCTATCCGCGGTTACAATATGTTAGTAAATAGTACATACATACTTGTTTCAAAAAATAAAAAAATGCCATTGGTTGCATTTTGTCCGTCTGTTTTTCAATAGATCTCCTACACCGAATGTCAGACGCACCGAATTGAATCTCGATTTTCTGCAAAACTTCACATTCGAAAGTCCCCGACATCTTTTACTTGACCACTACAGTTGGTGATCAAGGGGTAAATCAGTTATATTTAACTTTGTGCACCCCATATTTCTATCTATAAACATTTAGGAAATTTCCTACATTTTCACGAGCATTTTCATAATTTTTAATTCTCTTTTACCCATTCTACCATACATTTTTGTCTATATGCCTATATTGCACTCTCTGTGTAACGAGGTATATGTAAAATTAAGGTCTGTAGAGTTGGGAAAATCTAGCTTAGTTATTTCATATTTGATGCATGTTCGCATGGGGTAACAGAGTAATAACTATTCCATTGGTGTCTGGGATAGGCCTAGCATGGATTCTTTCAATCGGTCAAGAGACATGAAAAATAAACGTAGAAGAAAATTAAAAGTTTATAAAAGTAGATGTGAAACAGAGCGGCAAGCCACTCGACAAAGAAATGAAAGAAAAAAGAAGCATAAGTAAATGCCCATTATGTATTAATTTTACATAAATGTAAGATAAAATGACCCAACATGTGTGCAACCATTTACCCTTGGAATTTTTCATTTTTCCTCATTTCTTTTCGCCCCTTCCCTTACAGTCTATTGTGTACAATTACATTATAAGGCTAAAATTGAGGAATGGAACTAAAGGAATAGAGGCTCGCTTCCGGAAAAAATGAAACTACGTCGATTTTTTCTTTTTTGCACCCCTGGAGGTAAGCTCGATTCAACACTGGCCTATAATTTCTAGAACCCGGAATTTCTCCTCAAAACTTGTACCTTTGCGGTATCCGTCCACGCTCTGCTCTTAGATCATCGATCGAGGGTTTTCTTGAGGACGCGCCTGTTTGTGCAGAAACCTGGATACCTAGCTTTAAGGATAATGAGTGTGATGCAATAATTACATTACCGTATAGCTTATCGATTTTCATTTTCATTTTTTTCCAGTTGGATCGGTAAAGCTGTTAGGATCAGAAGTAAACAACACAATCCACCATCCCTCTGCTTTAGGAGTAGAAGCATTGCATGCGATGCCAGGTACATGATCCGACCGTCTTATTTGACAATTGTCAATTATTTTTGTATTTTTAGCCTCGGAAGTACGAACGAGAAACGGTCATCGCTTGGGCGATGTGTATTTTTTAACGCCGATACTCTGTGGACATTGTAAGTGTGCGGGTATTTTAATTTTTACGCGTAATTATACGGTTTTTAGGTAAGGATTATGTATGGGGCTGCGGAAGAGTTGGCGTGCAGTGTAAAGGTAATTATTTAGAATATTTGAATTTACCGCGAACGACATTGTGGAGTGCACGCGCTTTAAGCGTCTCGTAGTATACGTATCAAGGTCATAGAGCTCGCACAATTCGTTTGCTCGTAATAAAATTGTGTTTATTTAAAATGCTACGATTTTATAATTAAGCAAATAAGATTTGCTTTTAAGTGCAGGGGAAAACGGGAGCGTTCGATTTATTAATGTTGTGCCGATGAGTTAAAGTTATAATTTTTAGTCAGAGGTAATCGGTGCAGCTGTGTCGCACATTGCCGTTGAGGGGTGCGGGGAAACCGTTCTTTTCGAATGGCGTAGTGGGGGCAATTGCGCGGGGGCAGAGGCGCAGGCAGATTGGCCTGGCTCGGGGAAAGAAATCGGTATAAGCTTTAGTTGGTCTGTACGTGTAGAAGTGTACATGAATACACGTTGGAGGTCCGGCTGTAATAACATTACAGCACCCGGGTTGTGTGCAGCTCTAATAACGTAATGATAAAATGAGCTTCCAAGAGGCTTGTGAACCCCAAGACGCCAGTGCTTCGGAGCAGGCGGGTATGGACAGTTTGTACTGCCGATTTCGTGTACCCGATGCCAAACTGTCTGTTCCCGTTGCTGTAGTTAACATTGACGCCGAAAATTACATGATGCGGGGTATAAGTCCTGGACCCGAATCTAGACCACGATCCTTCAGCCTCACCGGGTATAATGTGACGAAACCGCAGTCTCAGGACGTGGACCTTGACAAGTTTGTGGTACGCGAGACCTCCAGCTCCTTGGCACCGGCAACGGACGCCGACGCCTCTAGTTACTGTGCTCGTACTTTGTCGTTTCACTCTCTTCTCTGTTCCTGTCAAATGTCTTGTTGTTGTATGTGTGGATCACTTTGTTCTCCAGATTGCCACGCTTGTTTCCACAAAATATGCGTCCGATTTGCTACCAACTACGTCTGTCAGAAGAATAACGAGGTGCTCACGGCAGCTACACTAGATCAAGATAAGGTGAGTAGCAGAGCTTTCTTTTTTTAATACTACTGAACTCGATTTACCTGCACATTAAAGGGCCAAACCCGCTAACCTTTCATTTATTAATATAATTAACTAAAAGCGGAGTTCATCCAACCACGATTCTCCCCCTCCGTCATTTAAACCACATGTAAATCTAGAGCAGTTTTTAACAAAAGGCCAACGAAATGCCAAAATTCACATAAATTTATATTCTCCAAGTAAAATTTTACTGTATTTTTAGCCGGTTAAATTTATATTTATGACTTAAAGAATTTACTCTTCGGTTGACAAGATTATCGAAATTTTTCATACTTTCTTTTTACACTGACACATTGAGCTCATTATAAAATTTGAAAAATCAACAAAGGAGTTTTAACGGACAATAACCTCTCCATAATCTTTTTTTGCAACGGCAAAATTAAACCTTGATGTGCAAAGTAGTGTTAAATATTTCCACTAGACATTACAATTATTTATACCGAAAGATTTTCAAACGTCGATCAAATCGAGCGTGGCGTTTTTAAAGCGCTTCCCGTGCATGGAAAATTTGCTTAGCGACTTCGATTAATCGTAGAAATCGCAAAAATGTTTGCTTCCACTTAATGAACGTCTTGCAAAAATTTATGAGAATAAGCAAACGTAAACTGTAATCATTTTTACATTGCTGACAAATCAATTAAACTCATTTTTCAAAATCCAAAGATTTCCAATGTGAGCAATTTTCTCAAAATGAAGTAAACAAACAATTCACTCTGCTTTTCACATTTTTTTTCTACCAAGTTTTAAACAATTGATGCAATTATTGTTGTCCAAAATGATCTCCCCCTGTAGGTCTAAACTTTATCTGTTCTGCTTACCAAAAATGTACCCTACTTCTCGATCATTACATGGCTATGATCTTTCATGTCGTTCTTTTCTCGACTTTCCTCGTATACAGTGCCGGATTTAAATTTTTTGCTCCCCTAGGCGCACCGAAAGAAATGCGCCCCTATAAAATAATCTTTAAATTGCAGTAAATTTTAAGATGCTAATAAAAATCACTTATAACTTAAAATTTTTAAACCTAAGTAATATGAAACGGTATACAGTATACCTTAAGATTAAGTTTTCACACACGTCAAAACTTGAATTGTCGATTATCGTTCTTACAGTTGCAGTTTCTTTAAACTATCTACCAATTTAATTAAAAAAATTTGTCATTTGTAACTTGTTAGGGGACTAAAACAATATTACCTAAAATAAATATAGTGCAAAAAATGCCGCCCTCTAAAGCTACCACATATGGAAATCCGCCACTGCCGTATATTGTCTAGGTTCTTTCAATTCGTCTCTTTCAAGATGGTAACTTTTGTTTTGAGCAAGTTGCGACGTCAAAGAAAAAAAATACATGCATTTTTGGCACTTTCTCATTTACTGCCGGCACTGTATATGGTGGGGTAAATAAATGTCGTAAAAAAATCACAAGGATAGTTCCGATTGCGCCTACAAAAATTACAATTTTTAGATTGGTTTAAAGAAATTCTGCAAAATTACTCTAAACTAAAAAATTTAGTTTGGTGTACAACTTATTTTAAAAAAAAAAACAACATTTAAAATTTGTACAGCCTTAACTCGAGAACGAAAAGAGATAGGCCTCGGAGTTGGTCACGACTTATTTTACGGGACAAACATTTCCTTCATTGCCATCATTTCCCTTTACTTCCCCGACTCCAACATTTCTAGCATTGCCTTAAATTTCCCAAAGTTGACAATATTTCTCCAAATTAACCTGAAATGGGTAATGGTACCTCTCTATAGAAATCTTTTATTTCCTTAAAATTTTCTCTATTTCCACCGAATTTCTTCTAAATTTCCTTGGAATTTCTTCTTATTTCCTCAACATTTTGCAATATCTCCTTAGAATTTCCTCATTCCGTTTAAATTTTCTTCCTTTTCCCCAAATTGTCCTAATATTTCCCTAGATTTTTCTCTGATTTCGTTCATCTCCTACTTATTTCACAGCGTTTACCTGGAGATTTCCTGTATGACGGGCAAAAATTTTCCTCATGATCAACCCTTCGGAGACAGCGGTATCAAACCTGGGCCAATCGATTTTTCAATGATTAGTGGTATTGAACATGAGCCGAATTAAAATTCTCGTTGCGAACTGTTAAAAAATTCCACTAATGAAAATCGCGAGGTTTCGTACCTTCTTTCTCTTTTTCTCTCCTTAGATTCTTACCAGTTTTTTTTTCGTAATTTTCAAAGATTACTGGTATATTACTGTCTAAGAATACCTTCATATTTTTTGCCCATATTTTCAAATGATTTCACCCTCGACTTTCCCATTTTGATTCTTTATGCGCCTTATACTTGTGTTTAAAACTCGTTTTAAAAAGATAATAATAAAAATAAATTGATGTATTGAAGGAACTACTGCAACCCGGTTGTTTTAACCCCCTCCCCCTTATTGCTAATTTAATAAATGTTTGTTCTTCGACTAGGCAACCGAAGATCTTGGTAGATCGTTTGGAAAATAGGATGCACACCTATAAATTTTTTAGCCCGATTTCTTACAGCGCTCAGCTTTCCCACACTTGGGAATTATCTGTATTCACTATTGTTGATGTTTTTATCTAAAAGTAAATATTTGAGCATAAAAAATTTATTTTTAGTGTTAGATAGCCCTGTTGCCAGCAAGTCTACATTGAAGTCGCCTTATTTTTCAATTCCGTATTTTGTGGAAGTACGTTGTAATTTACTATTGAATTTTTGCCGCTATAACTAAGTGATTTTTAATGATTAATTAATATTCAAAGGTTCGAAATTTGAGTGGTGTCATAACTAAAACTTGGCTTGTAGGCTATTAATGGGAAGCATTTTGTATTAAAACGAGTGATTCATTTGCGCGATTTCACGTGTCAAACACTTCATAGTGATGTGAATATAGTAAATTTGTTAGAATTTTTTTTATCAGTGAAGTTAAGCAAACAAATGTTATATCATTTAATACCATATCAGACCGCCGCAATAAGATTAAATTTGTGGTTTACAGTTGTCACTTAGATAAAACAAACGGTGTGTTACGGATTTAAGAAACTACATACTCCTGCAAAAATAATCTCAAATATTTTTGTATTTTTATTGTGCAAAACACAATACGTTATATGGTTGCACTTTTGAAACATACGCACTGTTCTTTACTTTAGCAACCTCGTTGAAAATTAATCCTCGCATCAGGAATTGTTTGTGTGCCACTTATCTTGAGAAGTGCTTCGTCAGAAAAATGTTTAGTGAGCAAGTTTTACTACCGTAAAACAGTGATTTACGACTACCACCAACCAAATTGTATACATCTGAAGAAGCGTTCAATTCCACTTTTAGCACAAAAAAGAACTGTTTCTACGAAAAACATTCCGTATTGATTTATTAATCAAATTAGAGCTGCGCAGGTATTTTTATTGTACTTGCTTGGGGAACTTTATCCCTCCATCTTTTCTACTTATTTAAGCCCACTGTCCTTATCGTTACGAAATGTAGTGATAATGTTGCTATTTTCAGTCAGTAAATCAGAAAAAAAACTCAACGCAAATGTTTCTGCACTCTGACCTTTATAAGAAAACGGTTGATATAATGCAATAACATTACATTGGGACGATTTTTCCATTTACGAGACGAGAGAGTTCTGTTTTATTGTTATCATTTGCCAATTACCATGTCCCATGATAAAAGTGCTAGAAGTGATATTGATTGACGTAAGGTGCAGAGAGTTATGACAAAGTACACGTTCGTTCATTTATCGTCATTGCGTTTGTCGAAAGTTGCCAGGCAAATCGGCGATCGGGAATGCTGGGAACACACTGCCCTGTGGTCGTTGAACTGAAAAGCAACACAACAAAGAATCACAAAAACACTTAAAAAATCGTGCACTTCATCGGCTCTGGTGCCATCACATCGAATTTTGTTTTGCTTTATTATCTTGTGCGCAAGTGTGACTGTGGTCCCACACCAGTTTTTTTAACAGTGATTGGAGGTTAGACCAAATTTGTTAATTTTTGCTAAAATTCGTTTCTTAATGAATTTCAAAATTGTTTCCGATTGACCGTATGAAAGAAAAAGTGAGTGAGACAGCAAATTTTTTTCCCGTTGTATTTTTTTGTTTGTTGCTTTCAAATAGGTCCAAATATGAAATTTTCAATTTCTGATTTGGTGGGGGTCCAATTTTACATTTTGAGCTTGTTTTAGTCACAACCCTTAGTTCGCTAATTATAATCTGCATGATGCGTTTATGGACGTTGGGATTAAAAACTTGTTTTAATAAAAGTTGACTTGTGCAATTTTTTCCGCGTCTGATAATACAAAGACAGTGCTAACAGACTAATTAAAATTCTGTAATCTTGTGCGGTGGGTACTATCGCACAAGAGTTTCATAATACTAGGACGCTTTTTATTTACTCTCAATTGTTCTGTTACCAAAAGATTAAAATTGGTTGATTGCACCACGTGCCTCGTATACTGGGTTTTATCAGTAAATACTTCCTATTAAATATAGCTTGGCTCTAGTTAAAATACAGTACTCGATATAATCGAGTTGTGATTATTCACCGGAAAAAATATAAAATTAAAGGTACTGAACGCAGAAAAAAACAAGCGATGCACTTCCTGTATTTTAAGATATATCTGTCCCGGTTTGTTGTGTTAACAAAGAAAAGGATGAACTTATATATGTGCTGACTTGATAATATACTGTTTAGAATCTTACTGGAAATCTGAACGTGCATAATATTCAGGTGCATTTCTGTGTAATGGGTGGAGGTCATGGGAACGAAACGTCACTAGTTTTATTTTGACGTCCAGTTTTATTTCGTGTCACTCTCTTGCAACAGAGACCTAGACAAACATCCGAATGTCGGAAAGGGGCAAAATGTAAATGCTCATTAGTAATCCCCTCTATCCGTTCTTTTCCGCATATATTTTGAAAGTACACTAAATCTGTGTCAAAATCATTTTTGGGATACTTGATACTGATACTACTACATTAGCAACTTGTGGGCGAACCTTGTGATGTGGATATGATATACATTCAAATATGATCGTGAAATCATCCCTTGGCGATGATGCTCAAAATCATAATTTATCCAGGCTCCACACTCAAATGTTTTAAACAAAGGCGGCGATAATTTTTCAGTAATAGATAATTGACTAAGGATTCGTTCATTGTGCATGAAGATGCATCCCTCTTATGGGATACTTACACTATAAATTGTCGATTTTAATAACAATCGTTACATACAATATTATGATGGTAATTGGCGATAAAGTGTTATGGCATGTTACGAGTTTAAGTACGTGAGGTTATGCACGTACTTACATTTTTTGTAATCCCGGTTTCGGCTAATAATACAACTTTCAATAATTAGAATTACTTTTTGTTTATTTCAAGTGCGCGGAAGTTACCATAGGCTAGCGAGTGAAAATATAAAGGGCCTAATTGTGAAAGTTTTCAATATTACCACGTGATGGTATAGGTGAAATTAATCATATGTGACGAACAAAAAGGCCAGCTTGTATTTTTAGAATTTTGAGCTTATTTTATAAGTATCTACATGCGATATCTTTTCACCCAATGACAGGATATGTTGACATAAACTATGGAAAATAAATGCCGATTACTTTAATGCCAAAGTATGTCTACCTTCAAATCCAGTTTTGCAGATTAATTATTTAAATGATTTTCGCGAAGTATGCTAAATCAACAGCGTCAAACGTTTCCTATACGCAAAACAATTGTAACGTTGAGGTTAAGAACATGGTGTCGTATTAAAAAAAATAATTTATGTAATAAGCTCCTTTATTTTTTGCGTAATTGCACACCGACTATGAAAAAACTAACGGAAACCTCTATATGCCATTTCCTTTAAATATAAAATATGTCTAATTTAGTGTTATTAATGTAGAAATTCTAATTGATTTTAAACTTTCGTAATCAATTTTTATAACATATATCTTCGATTATAATTTTAATTACAAATTATTATTAGTCAATCTCCCTCGGTAAATTTTTATAAATTTGTGTTTATTTAGCTAAAGAATGAGTTACTTAATGAGTTTGAGTGTGTGTCACTTTAAAAATGAAAGGGAAAAGATGTACCTATAGTAAGTGACGCTTTATTTGTGCAACATCCATGTCATTCATTTACTTTAATATACATTTTCCGAGACAGTTTTTTTGCCCATTAAATCCTATTTTCATGTTAATAATTCAAAATTTTTTTAAAGTTGTGTTTTTTTTAATTTGTTGCAATAATACCGACATGATCAGATCTTTACCTTAAAAGTAATCGTCCTCGCTATTTTGTTCAGCACGGTCACGCCTTTGATTTCGCACGTGGCTTCTCTACTTGTCTATTCCACTCTTACTTGTTAAGAATTCAAACTATTTCGTTTTGGTTGACCTCTAGGGTAGCTCAAATTTTGGTGAGGATCACAGTAAATTGCGATTATTTATTTTGGCTCAAAAACGTCAATTCTTTTGCATTGGAAAACACACACGTCCTTACTTGGTAGGTAGAAGCTGGTCATACAGAACATTTTGAGCACAAATAAGCGTTTTGAATTTTATTTAAACTTGCACAAAGCATCTTATGTTCAAATTTCATGTGAGCCGCATACTTTTATTTTCAATTTTCGTACATTAGACAAAAAAATCATTTCATTCACATGTAATCGCATTTCCTCGTTTCACCTGCAAATTTTTAATGACCTGCCATTTGCGTTATCGCGCGACTGCCCGCTATGTGACTTTTATGAAGCGTTGCTCTCCGTAAAAGTAATTGTTAAACGTTTGTTGAACCCTGGATTGAAAGTAAAAGATTTTAAAAATAGGTCATCAAAATCGATTGTTGTATTTGTAAGACTGGCGTTTAAAAATACTCCTTGTTGAAATTAAAAATATATCTTCATTGCCGTTATTTTGAAGGGTAAATGGAGCCTGTCCATATAAAAATTAGGAACCGTATTTGTAATCTTTATTTTGGCGCAGTAATATTTCTACAACATTCGGGAGAAATAAGATGTTTTATTTCATATTGCGTGGGGTGTATTTTTACTGATTCGTTCAATGCATTAACATTTACTTTCCAGAAAATGATTTTCTTTTCGTTCTGCATTAGCGTTCGCGTCTTTTGATACAGGTTGTAGACTAGAAAATTTAGTCATATGTATTAAACAGTGAAAGCTTTTGTTTGTACTACTTATTGGAATGTAAAATCTGTTCGTCTGCACATCGTTCTTATTTTACCGTATCCACTTTACCATGTTTAATGAAGGCCGGTAAATTTCCGTCTCCCGATCACTGTACTCTGCAGATGGCCCATATTTTGTAATTTAGATTGTACTTATTTGCAAAGACTTTTATTCTTTTCACGATGTGAAATATTTTTCTCGCGGGGCGTGAGATTGCAGGCGTTGGGCCTTTTGGTGTTTCTTCTTTTCATTAAAAAATTCAATGCGGATGAACCAACTGGAAACTTATTTAATTCGTTATCGTGCCGGTCGTACAATGGACTGTTCGAGGCGTTTGATTTTGTTTCAGGGCATTTTCTCTTAAAAAGTTGTAGCTGGAAACAAAATTTTAATGACGACAACGTCCGTTTCTCTAACAACTTTTTTATTTTTAAAGAATTTGAACGAACCGAGGTATCTAAATAAAATTTTAGGTTTTGTAATGGTCTCTTAAAATACGTATACCTAGCTAAAAAATGAAGGTATAAGAAACCCGCGCAAAACGCACTCTTGCGTAGGTTTTGTATGTCGCGGAAGATGTTCGGGGTTTCTTTGAAATGTTATCATTATTCTCTGAGCGGAATTATTCCGTCTCTTTCTTGTTTCCGTGGTTACCTCCTTTCTATCGCCAATGCGAAATATTTTGTGATTTTTAAATGTTATTGTTGTGTTACACTTTTTTCCAATTGTTCGCTTTGGTTTGGTGTATGCAGGAATAAAGTAGTTTTGTTGGAGCTTTTTATTTATGATTTTTGATTTTGCTTTCTAGCAGACTTACTCCGTCAAAAGTGAAATAAAAGGAAATTGCGTGGTATAGGTACTGCGTTATTGGTTTTGTTAAATTTAATGTAGAAGATTGAATTTCCATTCTGTTACTTACCTGATGGCTAGCAGTAATACCACTTCAATAGTGGTGTGGTTGTCTGGTAAAAGATTTCGAAAGGTCGGTCATATTTTGAAGGCGTACCGTGTGTATTGTTCTATTTAAGCATGTTGGGCTCGCTTGAGAAATATAAATTATTAATGCGTGTTACGTAAAAACCGGTCAGTAGCGGATGAGTATTATCAGACTACACGTACCATCAAAATCCAATAAGTTTGTTGGCGGGGAATGTATACACGTATATTGGCGACTATGCAAATAAGAGTGCGGGAAAACGATCGACTATGTAAGTCGATAATCCGGTTTTTATAAGATTTATCTTAACAACGAGTAATAACCAAATGGTGTGTTAATTTTATTATTGGTTCCACGTGTGATATGCACGCACACGTAAAAAAAGGGGTTGCTTACTTATTACGAGCCTCCTTTGACAATGTTTTACATAAAACGTTAGGCATTTAAACAAATTTATCTGCGTAAAAGACTTTGGTTGGTAGAAAGAAAGTCGTGTCCTTCAACAGGCTATCCAATCCGATTATTTATAGTAGGTCTAAGATGTTAAATGTTAAATGAGATCTTTAATTTAAAATTATTTTACAAATTAATTACATATTTGGGCTTTAAAGCTTCCTCGCCCTTCGCATGCGAAAATACCAAAGACCTAAATTTTTATTTCAGGTATACCAGAAGTTTCTAAATGCTGGAAGTAAAAATCTATCGTGTTTCCGATTATAGTAAACGCCTACGCACATACTTACCCACACACGCACCGCACGTTTTTAGAGGAACCATCCAAATATTCCACTTGTCTATTTTTGAAGTGCACAATGAAACTGAAAAATTATAGCCAAAAAATTGATGTAACCTTTCCGTGTTTGTCACTTACCGACGACCACGTGTCGTACTTCCCGTGCCCTCCAATTTTATGCGATAGGAAACAAAATACCACTCGACATAATCAAGGTTGGCCATACTGATAAGTTTATTATTTACAAATTAGTGCAGATGCATTGGTTACATGAACATAAAATCATTTAAACATGTAAAGCTCCATGAAGATGTCCGAGAATCAAAGTTCGCTTAACGTATGGAAAGTATTTTGGTATGTTTGCCGCAAGTAGTACGAAGTCACTTAGCTTCCACTATTTTTTGATTTGCGCAATTATTCACAACTTCAAAAATGGTTGTTCTGGCCAAACATTTTGATTTTGATTCAATATATGGGATTTTAAATGATATCTTGAAGTATAGGTTCAAGGGTGTTTGTTTAGACTGTTTATCAGATACCATTATGAAAAAGTTACCTGATAAATATTTAGTTTAAATACGCGTGTAGGTAAGATGTCTGGGCGATTTTTCCATTCAACTGACGATGATAATATGAGCAATTGAATCGGAAATAAATTTGCGTAAAGGATTTTTTTTCCCAAAATGCACCAAACGTATTCTCCGCATGTATTATTTTTTTGGCAGTACTTCTATCGTGGAGAAACGGTAATATACACTATGAGACAAGGCTTTTAGTTCAACGGCCAAAAGTTTTCGAGTATTTTCAATGTTTTTGTTTAAAAAATTAATGTCTTCGGTTGAATTTTCCGTTTCTTTTACAGTAGTTAGCTATTATGTTGTTGATTATATTGATTGTATTGATTACAATAGATCAAGAACCTTTCGTGGCATTAAGACAATGTCTGCTTATCAATATATGATAATATGTCACGTAATCTATGAATTCTTCACGAGCCTGACACTTTTGCGACAATAATCGATTTGAAAATAGTTGTTCTCAATACGCGCATTACTTTTACATATATTCAGAAGTTTTGCAATTGTAATTTTAAGTTCAAAGCGATAAATGAATTTAAGATTAAGCAAGATTAGTTATCATACAGTTACAAAACACTATTCTTATAAATCGCGTTCATTTAATGAGACATTTCATATTTATCACTGTTAGGTAAGTTTATATGGTTCTTTTTTTGTTCTACAAAAAGGTTCATTGCGCAGTTCTGCAATGACGCCAAAGGTAATTTGTCAACTTATGTTATGCATTAAATCTTTGACCTCGCTAATACATTAAAGAAAACATCGATACTGTAGGTCTCATCACCGCATATATTATTGGAGTAAAAATCCTCAACACAATCGTTTTCGTTTTCTTTCTTTTCAATTGCAAAAACGTGTATTTTTTTTTATCAAACTTGATACCGGTTGTAAAATTGCACAGAAAGCAAAGAAATTTGATAATCGAATTTGAAATTGTCGAGTATTTTTAAAACACTTTAAATTATTCAAATATATTGACTTTTAAAAAACAGGATGTTTTAAATCATTGCAGCGAAAATTAAGTTTGGTTTTTGTTCATGCATTAGCATTGATTTGTATTTGAAAGACTTTTCAAACAGTTTACATAAAAATAATAGCATAATAAAAAAGTGTTAATCTGTATTTCTAATGTATCATACTCTGAGGTTACGTACGTACGTTTGGTGCGTGTTTAACTACCGTGACAACATGGCGCGTACTTGTTCTACACATCAATATTTTTTCGTTCTTCAGAAATATACTGTCGGATTGCCATTTTGATTCAATTTTTCATTTACAATATAGCTTCATTTTTTCTAGCATCTTTGTTGTAAACATTAGCAATGTGCTGGGTAATTTGGACACTTTTCTTAGAAAATGTTGGAATCGGATTGGACAATATAACAATTTATTTCATATCGAGCGAAATATGAGGCGTATCGATCTCCAAAGGGGAATCAGTTGCGAATCATTGAAATTTGAAACGAAAATCATGGAAGACAACGTACAAATTAAACATAAAATTTTTACATACGAAATATCCCAGAAAGGCAGCCGTGTTTATCGATTCATATTGCACTGAAGAAGCAAGCGGGGCACTTTCGGGGGGCACTTACACAAATGCATATCTATCAACGAACGTTTGGAGCAACTCCAAAGCAACCAATTGAAGTTTGTTATGATCATGCTTCGCATTTTCGATGATGACATTTTCAAATACCATCAATTCACAAGTAACTAGGAAAAGTAATTAATGAAAATTTCGTCTATAATTAAGTGCGATGTGTATTTTTCGATGAAAGAATAAACTAATCAAACTAAGGATATTAAAAAATAGGTTGACGTTCTCAATAGCGTTTAAAACCGTAGGGAAATGAAGTGTCGAGAATTTTATTCCTTTCGGTGCATCATAAATGCATTTTATTTTGGCGAGTACACAAAACGATTTCTATTTGTATACAAATGTAGATGCCAATTATTTAAAGCCGCACCACTTTTCTGACGCAAAATTAAATTAATACCTAAAATAACATGTGCAATGCGGTTTCCGTCCAATGCTTTTGGAGGGCTTTTACATATTTTGATAACATTTTATTCGGATTCGCACAATTTGACCTAATTTCAATCGGCGTCTATTTTGCCAGTGTTTTTTTGTACGGAGCCTGTAATCCTTGTTAATTGTATTTTTCAAATGACCATAGGACGAGTAATTCTCTCTGCGGATAAAAGTTCTTTTCAATTAAGCTTCTTTTCAATACAAGTTGACATAATTTCTGAAAACGTTGATTGCGCCTTTTATTAAAGTAAAAATGGATTGAATAGTAAATACCGTGTTATGTAGTTTTGTTTTTGAAAGCATGCTGTGACTAATGAAAGCTAATCAACGCAATATGAAAGACCAAAGTAATCATTTGTGATCAAAAAATTATTCCAATTTTGTTCATTTGAGACTGATCTATCTACACAACGTATGATAATTGCTGCGATTGAATTTTCAATTTCGAATCATCGCCTTCTTGTTTGCTTCAGCTCCGTTGCAGATTAACGCTTAGTTTGCAGACTTGTTTTGGAATACGTGCTATACCGACCACTTGCAAGCGACGCACATCGATAATCTATAAACCGCCGTATACTTAGTTATGATGTTTGTTCTGTATGCACTACCTCTTGTCATGAACAAGGTGATTGTTTTTACGGCAAAACTAAACTGTTTATTCGTATTTGTTTCCATATCTTAGCGGGTAGGTAGCAAAAGCGCATTTAATATGCATTGATTTTTACAAATTTCCTGAGCATGCTTACAATGATGGCTATAGGTAACTAATATTGTCAAAGGAAAATATGCCTACTTAGAGTTGAGATACTGGATGGGGTAAAATGGTTTTAGTCGATCAAAAGTGTTTGATGTATCCAAGTGTCAGTTTTCAATTTAATTCTGGGAGAAACTCATCTGATAACTCATTCCTGTAAATTCAGTTGTCGTGGAAATTAACTGTCAGATAACTTTAACTGAAGTGAAAAGTATATATTTCAAGATTTCGTTTTTACTTAGTTTTATGAAATGTATAAATATTCTTGATAGACACCATACTGACCAAAAATCCACTGGTTTTAATTAACATGGTAAAACTCAAGTCTGTTATATTTAATGTTATACCACTCTCCTTGATAACATAGTACGCAAATCGTAGGCCTTTTCTTCACTTACCCTAGCTAAAGATTAACGGAACACTCCCACGGAAAAAGAATTTCTATGTTCTACTCAAAAGTATCAGATTATTAATAAAGGAAAAGCAAAGTCTGGCTATTGGAAACTGTTCTACATTTTTACTTATTCGACATATGGCAAGAAGCTTATAATATATTTCTCGTACTGATAGGTACGTCTAAGTTCACCAAAGTTCTTGCCTACCTGTTTCTTCAATTTGGACTTGTTCTCTCTAAAACGCAGCTTACATTGATGTATTACGTGAAGAGCGTATTTTCTCATTCCTGATGCTGATGGATCTCCCCTATACGTATTTAATCTACACCTAGAACGTGACACGTTGTTGAAGGTACTGCATCCATTATTCTTCAGTGTTATCGGAAGATCTTTCTGCCCCCGTTGGAGTTTCGTCGGACTAAAGCAAGGTGGTATACTCATTATTGCATGTACCAACATATACTTTCAGTCAGCATGTCCTGTAGGACGCCCTAGATCGGGTGGGATTGTATCATTGCATGGGTCACTTTGTGATTATTTAAGATGGGAGAGTAGGGGCAAAGTGTTGCAGGATTAAAACTCTAGAAAATTTGAAAAATAAGATCCGATAAAAGTTATCTTACAAAATTGAAAAGCGCAGACAACTGATTAAATTTTTAGTGATCCAGGAGCGTGTTTGCTATATTTGTTACAAGTTTATTGTGTCCTTAAACTCGCCTTTCCGGCCTGTATATTTTTCTCCCTCTCTCTCCCGATCTTCAGTCAACCTTGGTAGTACACAGACAAGGACTCCCATCCAAACATTTCTAGCGCATTTAGTGTTCTCAAGTGTCTTCCATATAATAAAACGTTCCATAAGAGACGTTTCGTAAGGTACAAGCCAGTATTGTTCAAGGTAAACACTTTGTATTGCTGACCGTCTGTCTGTCCGTTTGCACGATATGTTCTTAAGGATGTAGGTCGGTATTGCGTTCGGTACCCAATTCTAAATATTTTAATTGATCTTCATTAAAAGTTTTCGAAAAATTGCAGTCTTCACTTCTGAGCAGGTAATTTCTTTTTTCGGTTTCTGTTTTCTTGCCCCCCCAGAGCTCCTTTCTTGCAAATGCAAAAAGGGATGCAGAGGTGGCTGTATTTGCCTGAAAGCAGGTCTCAAATGCTTTGTGATGTGTGCTACCTGCGCTGGGGAAACGTGCCAGAACGCTGCTCTTATCATCATCGAAGAGGGCGACGATGACGAGCCTCAAGACAACCCTGACGATCCAGCAATACTGGACTCCCTACCTATAAAGGACCGCGACGACAATCCACCAATAGTAGAGGACCTGCCTGTTAAAGAGTGCAGCGAAGAGCCATTCAAAACAAGGAAACGATTTTGATCTATCTTTGAATTATTGGTTATATACCTACTACAATTTTTATGACTTATGTTTATATTAAAATAGACTTCACCGTTTTTTTAATGATTGCATGCCAAATTTTTCTTTACCACATCAAAAAACAAAAAAATTAAAAGCTTTTGGAACATTTCTGGATAAATGCGATTTTACCTTATATCGTTTTTTTTTAGATTTAGAGAGAACTACGAGACCTGCAGACCCCACTTTACGCTTAACTTAAAGCTAATTAAATTATCTACAACTTCTATTTTATAAGTTCTACTCGTAGGATCAATAGTTTAGCCGCAATTTCTATCTAAAGAAGGTGTAAAACTCAAATGTTCACTTTTTGAAAAAAAATGACTATCTTCAAAGTGCCGTAATTCGGTAACTAATTGACCTACAGAACTCGACAAATTGTTATACATTTAATACTCTTGAAAAACGTATATAGTGACTTTCGTCGAAAAATGTCTAGTTAAGGAAATATAACGCAAACACTGCAAAAAGTCCGAAAATTTCGCGGTTTTTCGTATACTACACTTTTCCCACAACTTTTAGAGAGTTGCAAACTTGAGTATACACTACTCTAATGGGTCCAAACAACATACTAAAAAATCAGAGATACATCATGTTTTGTTGATTTATTGTCGATTTTGACTGGCCTACTTGGTGGGTTCTCAATCTCAATTTTGCAAAGCCAACTTCCGCGTAGAATTTTCAAAAAGACCCATTACTTCCTGCGAAAAAAATTAAAAGAAGAAACTCAAGTTTAGGAAATTGGTAGCTATCCATCTTATAACGACTCAAAACGGGGTGATATTGACTAAGTGGATTGATAAAGACACTAAACCTTCCCCATACTTCTTTTAATTATTTCAGGTATTAAAATAAAGCCTAATGCCTTTATTTTAATACCTGAAATAATTAAAAGAAGTATGGGGAAGGTTTAGTGTCTTTATCAATCCACTTAGTCAAGTTTAGGAGGCGAGACATTTTAGACCTTTGATTCTTTGGAAAAAATGCTTGTTTTAGACCTACCACTTATATCTTGGGTTATCGTAAAAGTGAGGGATACAAAGTAGGTTAAATTGGGGCAAAGTTTTGTGAATTTTTGATTTGCGAGGTTACCAGAATGACATACATTGGTTTTCTTATGATTATCATTTACCTCCATGAATAAAGAGAACCTTCAGCTACTAAATGGTACGCGATTTTCCGTGTCTTTTTACATCCTCTTGTGAGAATGTAGACTATGGAAAATTATGGCATGTAGCTACTGTTTTCAATAACTTCGCGCAGATGCTAGGGTGTATCCTATTTTTTTTCCTCTGGTGGTGTGTGATACTCTTTTGAGGTGCTATACTCATTACATACTTCCATGCCCAAGAGGTAAATTCGATGCATACTTAGTGACCAGGTGTAAAACTGTTTTGTGTCATCTGTCCGTACGGTTCGATAACTGACTTTAGGGGCGTTCGATCGTTGTAACTTACAGAAGGAAAATTAAGAAAGGGTTAATGTAAATAGTTACGGATTTGTCGATATTCCACAGTATCGTCTATTCCTGTCAAGAAGGAAATCGTTGAAAAATTACTAACTTCGTTTCCGAAACATTACCTTATACATGTTTCTCGTATTATTAAAAGGGATGCAAGTGTGACGAAACAGTGTCACAAAACACGATTTTCGCTTCAATAGTTTTTTGTTTCTGGTTAATTACTTTAACTAGTCAAATTAAGTTGAATTTTACACTGTTGCTCTTCTTTAATTTAGACATTTCGAGAGAGATGTGGAACGCATTTATAAAATTCTGTATGGAAACAATATCGGTATTCACATCACGTTCCGAAAGTTGGCGATAGTTAAAATAATACTAACAATAATAATAAATTGTCTTAAATTGTGCTAGTAGCTACCGACTTTCAAAATCAGGAGTTTGACCTATTTAGCGCGAATTCGCATTCGTGCACAGGGGATTGGAGAGTGAGACTAGAGACTTGTGTCCGATTTGCGATAATGATGTCAAAATGGGAAAATGAGATCCATAACGCAATTTGTTAGCTGTCAGGGATGCCGTTAGCTTTTTTCGAGGGGGAATAGTAGGAGCAACGCTGAGTGTATGACTGTATGTAATTCGTCGTCGTCGTACCGCTAGCCTACTCCGGCTCGTGTATAATTTAAGTATAAATTTATCCGAAGGTCATCTCTGTTATGAGCACGCTTCTTGTTCTATTCCAATCAAACATTTTAAAATAAATGAGTACTGGTATTGACGTTCACTTCAATATTAATATATAAAGGGCGCCTTGCTCGGGCGGTATTATAATTTAATGCGAATCATAATTACTGCATGAAGTGAAACTTAGATATCTAAATGTATATGAAACTGGCCGGGTATACCAGGTTATCTCTCTTTCGATTATGTAGTTACCAGCCATACCACGATAGGCGCACTCTCGTCCAATGAAAATTCGGAACCGGTTGCTATGTGCTGTTCACCTCGACGGATTCAAGCGTGCGCTACGGATCGGTTTTGTCACTAGCAGCTAAACGGAAGCCCTCTCCATCGACAATCCCTTCTCTCGCTGATGATCCCTAGTGTCCCTCTTGAACTTAAATCCTAGGACACATTGTAATAGAACATGAAACGTCCACAACCGCTTCGACTTATTACATAATTAAAACGCACACAAAGCTTGGCCATAAAATTCATTTACGATCGCGAAATTTTTCGATATAAAATTAATCCAGGTACCGACATAATATTTTATTAATTAAAATACGACGGAATTGCATTACGTTTATGACGATAACCGCTCGCATTTTCTGGCATTGTTACAGATTACAATGTTCAACCAATCCCTTATTCCAAAATTAAAACGCAATGAAAACAGGTTCTATTAATTTTTCAACCAGTTGACTGTTGTATTTCCAAAATTAATTTAACTCGATAACACCGCGGCTGCATTTCAATTGTACGTCCAAATGACAAATTAAAACGATCACCACCTTATGATTAAAATCCCATTGTAAATAGAAAATTAATACCTAAACTTTCTAATTGCGTTCTAAGACACACTTTATTTATTTTTCAGCCCATAACTGAATGGTCTTCATCGACCGTTGTCGAGTGGATGGCGGCCTTAAACCTTTATCCCTACGCAGATGTCTTTCGGTGTAAAGACATCAAGGGATCCGACCTCGTACACTTAGACAAAGAAAAACTCATGGTAAGTGTTTAAAATTATGCTCCTTTAAAGCCTACCCTTCACTTACCATCGTAACAACAGGTTCAATTGATTGAGATGGATAGCAGTATCATGGGCCATCTCATTTTGTACAATTATTGTACGTCGAGGAACATTTAGTCCAGCACACCAAGTCGAAAACGACTTTTGGTGTAACCAAACCCCATTAAAAGCCTCTTGTTTATAAATCGATAATATTTACAATGTAGTTGATCAAGGTCTCGTTCATCGCGTTGCACTTTAAACGCTACAAAACTTCATAAGGGACACCCCAATATATGTCTTAACTTGGGAGCCCTTCAGCGTTTTCAATTCAACTTTCATTCAAGTATATACATACTCGTAAGTGAGACGGGTGTAATTTGTAATCAGAATTCTATCACCGAAATCAAAATTTATTATATAACCTACCTAAATAGTAGAGACTAAATACTGTTCAGCTTTTCAGGACGTGGTGATGATTTCATTTGGCACTGCTGATTGGTAAATGCCTTTACACCTTAATACTACTACTGAACAAACACTTTTCAGAACAAAAATTAATAACTAAGGGGTTTTTAGCTTGATGCACACCGACCCCTAATCTACAATCTCAAATGTAAAGCTACACTGCAATGCTCTGTTATTTCAGAAAGCACACATTTTTGACGTCTCCTACCTATCCCTTTGATTTTGCTTTGTTACTTCAGCAGGGGATAAAGACTATCTAGTAATGCAGATATACAGTGTCCTGACGTCCTCGTTTGCATTACATTCCCTATCTGACACCTTCCAACCGTACTATTCCTAGGTGGCATTTACAGGAAATTGCTAAACTAACCCCCAAGCGATTAATACAAAAGCTTTATATATGCTCTTCTTTTTGGAACTGTTCTTACTTTGTTCAATTGGAAGGTTTCCCCTAGAAGTAGTTTCTTCAATTTTTAATTATTAACAAGTAAAGGAGCTCTCAACCATTTCCTTATATCAACATCCCCCAAAGTTTTGCCTTGGTTGGGTTCTTACTGGAAAAGTGATTGAGATTTATTTTTCAACCAGTATCTAATCAGATTCCAGTTACTGTGTAACTGTTGTTTCTCAGTATAATTTTTATATCTGTTCCTGCAATAACCTTATGGGTACAGAAAGGGAAAAGGTATAAAGTTAACCCTTAACACATTACACTTTGAACTATCCTTATTGTGCCACTAGTGCTAGAAGTTGACGCATCAACTCATACCTTTTTACAGCCGTCTCCTTTTGAGCACCATCGTTGACAGCAACGAAATGGAGTGTGGAAAATTTCGTTTGGGTACCACCCAGGCGTTTTTTCTCCGCCTGGTATTCATTCCTTTGAAAGTGCTGCTTGAATCCAACGATTCTTTTCTATATCTGGTGCGCTCATTTTTCTTATTCTTCCATGAGCAAGCCACCATTCCATATACAGGATTTTTCTCCCGAACGTCTCATTTATGTGTCCCTGAAGATAAAGCAAGTGTGCTCAAAAATGAGAGAGAATTTAACGCCTCCAAGCCCATTGCTTCGTATGAAAAGTTGTGTTTCCTTTCATACCTCTGTACACTTCTTGAGCATTGGTTCAGTGGAGTTACATTGCCAGCGTTGCAAATGGAACATAAAAATGAACAAAAATCCTAAATTTTAAGGGAAGTTATTTGCTAGTAAAAAATCCAATCTTTTCTTATGGAGTGGGATGGGGCATTTTTTATTAATTTCTTTGAAAAGGTAGGATGTAATTGCTTATTCTGTGATTGTATTGCTTTATAATTGAATTGAGAACAGTATTTATGTTTTTTTACTTTTTAGCTTCTTAGGTAGTGTAAGGGATACAATTTTTGACAGTTTAATAACAGTGTTGTGTCGAGCTAACATACAGGTATAACCAAAACGACAGCAAATAAGTATTGTGGTCGATATCTCAGTTGCCTATGCGATTCCAGTAAGAATTGCATAATGCACCACACAGGGCACATATAAATAAATGCAGCATTTTTGTGTTCTTCGCGCAATGAACTGATTAGATAAGTGAATCACTTTTCCAAAGTTAGTGTTAATTTTTTTCAAATATTAAGAGAGAGATTGAAAGTGAAGGAAAGTAAACGTGTTACTTATGGCGATTAATAATTTCCGTCAATATCTTTAGAACATTTAAAATTTAAACCCGAAACCTCTGACCTGACCATACAAAAGATCATTAACATTGCCATTAATAAGCTTTATATAGAAAATGATATATTTGTTAGATAAGAAAATGTAATAATTACCCATATGTTATTGTATTGAAAGTGACCTTATTTTCAGAATATGGGAATCAAAGACGAATTCCATCAAAAGGCAATTTTAAGTTGCGTTAGCGAGCTTCTGAAACAACCCGATGACAGCAGCGTAACTGTTGATCAATACAATTACACCGAGGTGTACGCTCATAATTTAACACAACATAGTTTTAGTACGTTGGAGCGATGTAAAAAATGCAACAAATTTTTGAGAGGTCTTTTACATCAGGGTTTTATTTGTCAAGGTACAAAGGCGGAATTTGTAATTATTCCAAATTAATACCGATTACCTTTCAGACTGTGGATTAGTTGCTCATCGAACTTGTGCTGCTACTGGCTTACCATTATGTTTACCATCCGTAGAAAAACCTTTAGGAACGCAATCGAAATCCATTTTCGGGGAAGGTCTATGTTTACAATTTAACTCGCCCGATATGCCAGCACCTTTAATAGTAAGTACAGCGATGGAAGCCGAGAAGTGTGAATTTTTATGTATGTGTGTGATTTAGTAATCATTAGTGCTTCGTCATTTTAATTTCCAGTTCACTAAATAGGTTATCGTAATCGTGCTGTAAATTGTCTCTAAAAGTTTTCTTCCTTCGAATGTTAAGCCAAAGTGTGTTCACGATAACAGCGTAATTAGGAAAAAATTTTTATCTCCAAATAATATAGCACGGTATCTTATCCGCCATCTTACCTTCGCTATTTCTTAATTGGCCTCTTGTGGGGGGTTTGCCAAACTTACTTTTTTTTCTTAATTCTTACAAGTGTTTCTTGGACAGCTAAAATCGTTCACGATAAATGAATCCATTAGTGTCCCATGTAATTAGGTGCAGTTATGAAGCTGATAATTTTTTATAAACGAGTTCAAGGGAATCATTAACTCCATTTGGGATTAAACTTATCTTTGGCCATGATTGTACCGCAAATAATTTTTTTAAAGTCTATTTTCTTCAAACTTTTATAAATATTGAATATTTAGATAAGCACCCGCTATCTGTTCGATTAACACTAAGTACTACTTGGTTATCGAGTTTCAAAATGTTGTTTAACATTTTAATTGTGGTTATCAAACTGATTGATTGAGATCTTTTCCGAAGTGATTCTGCACTGTTACCTCTTTTGATGCTGTAGAGGAAATGGAAAACTTTTTTGTGTGATGTTTCCAATCTCTTATCAAATGTACTGGACCTCAAATCAAACCATAACAATATTTCTTCAAACTAGCTACATATTTCAATGTAAGGAATCTATGCACTTCATCACCATCTTTTCACTGGATTACAAATTGCCGTTATATTTTGACATTTTCTTATGCATGGTATTTGGAAACGTAATTTTAAGGGCTATGAGAGCAATTTTTAAGTTGCAACCATTAACATTGTAAAGCTCGTTTGACATGGAGCAATAAACGCAAGTTGCAAGAGAAATTGCGAAAGGCATGCGCAATTCAGTCTGCAATTTTTATAGGACCAGGGTTATTTTTCTTGCATGAACCGCGCATGCAAGGGATAAATCTAGTTGTTTTTGTGTTACCAACCTAGTAAAATACAGCGGCGACTGAGGGACGCACTGATTAATTTTGTTTGTTTTTGTGATTTCCATGTTTAATAATAATATATATTATGCTTACATGGAAAAAAATTGCTTGCATTTGTCACAAAATATTACACATAAAAAAACTAAAATTTAAAACTTAAAAATTCCTCAAAGTTATAGAAACAATTATTCAAAAGAAGTGTTTTAACTTCTAACTTAAACTTAGCATTTTCCAAATTTTTCATAGATTCTGGGAGATGGTTGTAGAATTTTAACGCCATCACTTCAGAGCTATTCTTGGTTTTGTCCAACCTGAAGAAAGGTATCCTGATATTTTTGTTACCCCTGGTGCAGTAGTCATGAATATTAGATTGAAAGGTGTACTTTTTCTTCAAACATCAAAATTTAATTTTTATTTGAGATTAGGAAACCCATGTTTTTCTTCTGTTGGTAATTGAAATGGAATTGCGCCATGTCAAAAACAATGCATTGCTTATTGCAAGTTCTTGCGCCATGTCAAGCGACCTTATATGATAATAAATTAAAGGCCGCTTATTTTAGGTAGTTAAATGCACTCAAGAATTAGAATCAAGAGCCAAAAATAATACCTCTTTAGAACTATACAGTTTATATTGTGCTTCACCTCCTGCCGATCAAGTTAATGAATTAAGACAAAAATTAAACGAATCGCCAAATAATGTAGATTTGTCCGAGTATAGTCCCGCATGTATAGCAAACGTTCTTAAAAAGTTTTTAAGAGAGTTACCTGATCCTATTATTCCGGTACAATGGTATGATCGGTTCTTAGAGTCTTCAAGTAAGTATAGTGTAGTTGTACCACTGTCGGGTTTTAACCGGGGCAACTATTTGCAGAGTTACGGAATGATGAACAGTGTTCCACATTATTAGGTCGTTTAGTTCAGGAAATTCCAGAACATCATCGCAGTACGCTTACTTATTTAATGTCTCATTTTTGTCGCATTTGCCAAATGGAATATGCCAGAGGAAACAGAAACCCCCCCACCATACTTATACAGACAATGTGTCATATACTTCTAAGGCCACCATGGGAACGAATTATGTAAGTCTTCTAGCTCACTGGTAACCGAATTATTGCAATTTGATTTTAGTCAAGTGGTGTATAATACACAAGCCCACAATCGAATTATCGAATTGCTGCTTCTTCACTGTGATTGGAATGAAACGCTTCCGAAATTTGCCGGTGCTCCTGCCGTTCCCCCTAGGAAGGTCTCTAGAATTGGTGCTTCTATATTAGATAAAGAAAAATCGTCAATATCGACAAATTTACAAGACGCCGAATGGTACTGGGGTGATATTAAACGAGAAGAAGTAAACGAAAAACTGAACGATACAGTTGACGGAACATTTTTAGTGCGCGACGCGTCAAGTAAAGGGGGTGAATATACGTTAACCTTGCGTAAAGGCGGTACAAATAAGTTAATTAAAATTTGCCATCGAAACGGAAAGTATGGGTTTACGGAACCATATACTTTTAGTTCGGTTGTAGAATTAATAAATCATTATCGCAATGATTCGTTATCACAATACAATGCATCTTTAGATATTAAGTTACTATATCCGATATCCAAAAATAATCAAGAAGAAGAAATCGCAAATACGGAAAACATCGATAAATTAACGGCAAATCTTGTGGAAGTTCATAATAAATTACTAGATAAGAATAAACTATTCGAGCAAGTTACGGAAGATTTTAATAAAACATCGCAGGAAGTCACGAGTAAACGTCAGGCGTTAGATGCTCTTAAGGAGTTGGTGAAGGTATTTCAGGACCAAACAAAAACTCAAGAAAAATTTCAAAGCGAAGCTCAACCACACGAAATTAAGACTTTAATGGACAACGCGGATCTATTAAAACAACGCTTAAAAATGATGGAGGAAAGCTGCGAACAGCTGGACGAAAATTTACAACGACAGGAAGCGTACAATCGTTCGTTAGAAAGAGAGCTAACATCTTTAAAACCAGAAATTAGAGATCTAATGAGGGAATGCGATAATTATCAAAGGTAGGTCGGATCTGTCACAATAGTTAATTATAAACGACTAGTTCGTGCAGTAGTATGCCAAAAGCTTGCAGTTCATTTTTAATAATTATCCCAAACATGCTTTTTAAGTCATTTATTACAAATTTAATTAGAAAATTAGCAGCGAATAGAACTTCTCCGTGTTTGAACTGCAGCCAATTCATTTTTTCTTTGACAGGTGTATTCTGGACACACATTTCTGGTTTGTTATTTAATTATAATCGCAAATTCTCTTTTGGCTTCTTTAAGCATGTTCTACAATCTACATAGTTATCTATTGAGCAAGGTTGGGTTTTTACTCCATAACTGTGCGATCGAAGTCTACTGAATTTGTGAAAAAAAAAACTCAATCAAAATTTTAGGTGTCTATTGATAATTAAATTTATTGTTTTTTTTAACATGATCCATCGTTCCTCTAAATGGGGTTGAGTGATATCACAGATTAAGAAATCTGGACCGTTGACGGTAAAATGCAAATTGATTTTCAATTTCTTTCATCAATAATAATTAACTACACCTGATGATGGCGATTTTCGCCGAAACTATAGTTGTGTACAACAATAAATGTATGGGGAAGACTTTGAGATCCGATTTTCTTAATCTTTGATAAATCTATTGTTTCTACGATTGCATTTCACTACAAATTTGAATGTTTTTTTTTTCAGATGGTTAATAACGCGAGGTGTGAAATTGGCGAGAATCAGGCAGCTGCTGAATAAGGATGACGATGGTACAGATGGCGTTGATCAAACGGAAGAATGTGATATTGAAAATTTACCTCATAATGATGAGAAAACTTGGTTCGTAGCTAATTGTTCACGTTCGATGGCAGAACAATATTTAGCCGGTAAACCTGACGGTACATTCCTAGTACGTCCATCGAGTACGCATCAGTTTGCTCTATCGATCGCCTGCAACGGTATTACAAATCATTGTATCATCCAGAAAACCAAACGTGGTTTAGGGTTTGCCGAACCGTATAACATATATGATTCGCTCAAGTCATTGGTGCTTCATTACTCTCAGAATTCTCTAGAAATACATAATGATTCCTTAAACACAACTCTTAGGTATCCTATTTTTACAAATACTGCCAACGCCGAAGAATGCTACGTAGTTCGAAGTACCTATAATTATTCAACAAAGATCGAGTGATGTGATATTTAAAACTGCTGTGAAAATTAAAATATATATTGTATTCCTTATTATATAAATGATGTGGATGTGATTGTTACGTTACTTTTTTAGACTTTTTGTCGATTTTATGGAATATATATGGGTGATTAATAGACTTGTATTAAAATGTTATTAAGTGTACAGTATAATAACAAATGAAACTTTAAAAAACTATTTGCACGAACACCATGTAAATGACTGTGATAGTGTACTAAAGAAGAGAAGTTTTTACGAATTTATATTACATATTGTTCTCAATTTAAAAGTTAAATATCAAACCAAATGCTTTGTAGTCTTTGAAAAATCTTTAATGGATTTCTTATTCTACTGCATAGCATAATATAATTCAAAACTATTAGAATTTAATAACTAGCCTTTGGTACAAAACACTACATTCGCAAATGTGCTGATACAAATGTTATTTCTTGTGGTTTTGAATTAAAAGTGTGATACAAATACAAACAGCTTGTAGTTGTCTACTCGTTATGTGAACAGTAACAGACGATTTGTTTTTACATTTTTAGTTTAGATGCCTGCATTGTATGTATGTTTTTACAAGTTAAAAAGTTGGATAACACGTTTATTTTATTTTTTGAGATCATTTTAACTGTACATGTTCATGGATGCAGAGAAATTTTTAAAATTACGTATAGAAGACCGGACGCCTGCGGCCGGTCTATTTGCAGAGAGCCCAAAACAAAAAGCGCAAATCTTTTTTTTAAACCGACGGATTATTTGGTTTAATAAAAAAAGGTTTCTAACTTTTTGTCAATTTTTCATGTTGCTTTTAGATTTATGTCTGCCCATTTGTATTTTTGTTTTAAAAGAATATTGTTTTATTTTGTCCAAATGCCTAAAATATTTATATTTAATCCAGAAGCAAAGTTGTTTCACACTGTATCATTATATGTTGTTTGTCATTGTTGTTTGTTAGAATCTCTAGTTCTTATCATCATTCTTTAACGATGAAGCCATTTATCTGAAACTACGAAAAAAAAAGAAACAACTTACTTAGGATTAAATTGTTTCGCTTACTCTTACATTTATGTTCCACGTATGTGATATACTGTATTGAAAAGAGGAGCAAATTTTTTGCTATTGTAGCCCAATGAACAAAAAAATATGGAAAGCTAATGCCATGAAAATATTGTATTGGTGGATCCATATTTGGGATGTTATGATTCAAATTATCGAGTTTGTCTTTCCCAAAAGTCCACAAATAAAAAACTTTTGGGAAAGACAAACTCGATAATTTGAAGTAATGAAAATAAACTGACATACATTGAATTTGCGTAGATGCACCACTGAGCTTGCGCAGCAAGACATCGCTAAGCCGCCAAATTAAAAAGATAGTCAGGACCGGTCTCTAAAATATTTGGAAGTAGCTACATATTGAGGAAAGTCGGATAACGAAGTGAATTTTAGGTATTCTTTTACATGGACATAATTTGATGACATTATTCCTTCAGACAAAACCCTTCATTGCGTTAATAATAACACCGGATCCACTAAAATAGACAGTTCAGTGACCGGATCTGTAAGCTCGCGCAAGCTCAGAGGTGCACTAATATCTGATCCACGCAGAGTAATGTGTGTCATTTTGTTCTCGCTCATCATTATCCATTGGCGTTCTAGTTTATGTATATTTCTGTGTTGTAGCCATTCAAAAATATATGCCAGTACATAATGTTCAAATATAATGTGGCAAAAAAATTGCTCTTTGCTTCTTTAAATATAAATATATCTATTTTTATTTTATAGTGCAGTACATTGAACTGTTCAAGATATTGCATACCAATTTGCCAGTGCTGCTGTTATACTTTTATCTTTTTGCACATTTGTATTGTGAATACTGAAGAATATAATGTCGATGATGTTCCTTGCGTTTTATTTTGTCTCTTAACGAAATGCACCAATTTAGTGACTGGAATCGACTGCAGAGCAGTGAAATGGATCTTTGAGCTCATTGATAAGTGTATTTCCACCAGATTTAACTGTAGTCTTCAGAAAGGAGTAGATGATAAAGATTACTCAAATCTTGTTCAGTACGAATTACAATTGCACTGTAAACAAGAAACTAAAAGGGGAATGATCCACTGTTTTGTACACTTAAAGGCTGACGTGTGGACTCGTGATAAGGAAACGAGGAAAAAATAGAAGTACCATAAAAATAACAACCTTCACAACAGACCAATCATTGTAATTTTTGAAACGGGGAAGGGATATACTTTTATGTGCACTTAAAGGGTGCCGTCCTTATCAACATTATCAAACAAAGAACGAACGATCAGTTGGAAACGTTACTGCAAACCATCGACATGGATGACGAGTTGGATGTTGCCATATTTTTGTATTTAACTTTAAAATTAATTTAAAAAACCGTGCTAAGAAACGTAAATGGTGGGTGCATCCTATAAATAGTGCAAGACTTTCGGCAATAAGAAGATCGATATCCATACTACAAATCTTAATATTATTTTTTACTACCCACACAATAATATTAATTATTATTCTTACATCACCCTAAAACAACGCGCCAAGACTACAGGGAGTATAGCAATATTGTAAATTCAGCAAATAATCGCATGCGCCTTTAAGAAACGCGCGGGTAATTCACCACTGTGTGACACTGTGCATTAAGTCAAATGCTGCGCCACAACGCTTCAAACGGACGTTCCAGAAGAGAACGAGCGTTGACACCTAGAACGGGTGTCAACATTTAGGCGCGTTTTGTGTGTGGCTGTCTAGACGATTTTATATATGTTCTGAAATGGACGTATAAACGCTCGTCTGACCCTGCCCTTAAAAAAAAAAATTGTCTGAGATCGACCGGGAAAAAACATTTTCCTATAGAATGTGGCCTGAAGAATCCATAATTTCAAACAGTTCCAAGATTGGGCTACTAGTTCAAAAGTTACAGCCCTTTGAATTTTTTTTCGAAATTGGTTTCTAGTCTATAACTTTTGATTGAAAAGTCTGAGCGAAAAAGTACGAATTGTTTTGGATTCTACGCACCAAAATTAATAAGTAAAAGTGTTTTCCCGAGAAATTTTGGTGAAGTCGATTTTTCGTAAAAAAGGAAGGAAATTGTCTCAGATCGACCAGGAAAAAAATTTTCTTATAGAATGTGGCCTGATGTAGAATCCATAATTTCAAACAGTTCCAAGATAGGGCTACTGGTTCAAAAGTTGTGCTTTCCTATGAAATTTTGGTGTAGTCGATTTTTGGTATTCAAATACTATGTGAAGTATTCGAATACTTCTTACTCAAAGTATTCAAATACCTTGCGAAGTATTCGAATACTAAATATTTGTGAAAGTATTTGAGTTACAAATACAAATACTGCTTCCATAAAAGTATTTAATTACAAAGTATTTGAATACTTTAAAGGATTTGAATACTAAAAAGAATACTGCCCAGCTCTGCAACCCTCGCAATAGACGAATATCATTATGTAAAGTCTATTGTTCCTGCGTACATACATCTAGTTTACACATATTGCCAGGTGTTTGCCATCACCTACTAGTAAAAAAGTGGGAAAAACTTGTTATCATATTTTGTATTAAAAAGGCACGCGACGAGAATAGATAAAAAGGGGGTTAGCAGGTGAGGAGAAACGCGTCACTATTGGCAAAAAGATATCTCGATAAAATAAGACAGTTGATATTTCGCATGCGCACGTTAATAGCATGTTTACAATATGCGATATGTTTGCTTTTACTAAAAGCATCTTTGGTTAAAATTTCAAAGAAATGTCTCCATAAATAAGAAAGTTGGTATTGCCCAGCCCAGCCATTTTTGTTACTGTATGTGGTTTAAATTTCAACAAAATATAGAAAGTTGATATAAGTCTGCGCATGGACACATTAATCGTCAGGCCGAGGTGCCAGAGCAATAAGCTACCGAATTCAAAATGAACGAACTAAGTATTGAAAACTGGGAATAGTTAAGGCCTTGGACGGGCGAACAGAGAACTGTGACAGTGCGTTCCTCTATGGCTAATAATCGGTTAACTGCCTTATTGGTTTTAAAGTCGAAAAGAGATACAGTAGATAATAGATATAAATAGTGCAGTAGCGTAACAAGGTAGCTACGGGCCTGTGTTCCAACAGGTTGACGGGCTCTCATAAAATTTTTATTAATATCTGAAAATTGGTAGGTGTAAATGTTTAACGACATATTTATTCAGAAAACACAATAAATACAGTATGGTGCAAATGAAACGGCTAAATTCGTTATTTCTTAACCAGAGCACTGACGGGAAAAATCCTGAGACCAGTCGATGTTTTATTTTAAAATTACATCATAATGTGTAAAAATTCATCCCTCAACTTAATAACCTTAGAGTGAGTGTGGCAATCCCTAAATTTTTAGATAGGAAGACAGGGTTTGTGATCATCATTTGAAAGGGCATTTAATTCTCTTTACAACTATATCAATAATCAAATCGGTTGTTACCAAATAGAAATGATCTGTGACTGCAGCCACCACACTATGCGGTCTTGGTGAGACACTATAATCAAGAGTGAAGGTCTAGCCCCCTGGGTAGCCACTCGAATGATCCTCTACGTCCAATCCACCTATGTATCTGGGAAAAACTATGTCCAAGTAGTTTCTCACCAAGACCGCGTAGCGCGGGGAAGCACCACCTTGCTGCAGCCACAGATCTGAATCTGACAGATCATTTCTATTTGAGAACAACCGATCTGATTACTGATGTGGTTGAATGATATATCACAAGCCTCTACCTCTTATTTAAAAATGTAGGGGTTTCCATTCTCACTCTGAGGGTATTATAAATTTAGGGATGAGATGGTTATGATGCAATTTTAAAATATAAAATCCACGTTTGTGGCAGTAGGGATTGTAGTGGACGTTATGCTCACTGTAATATTATTGTAACTAAAGTAGACATGCGATCACAAAGTAAGGCAATAATAATGAATTATAGTAAACTTTGATTTTGTTCTTTTTTTTGGTGTATTTTTTCGCACAAAAAGGGTTCAACTTTTCATGTTAAAAATGTACTTATTGCTTCAGTTTTATTTTTAAAAAATTCTAAACGGACCGGGCCCCTTGGGTCCCGGGCCCGTGTTCCATGGAAGATCGGTGAATACTCCACTGAAATAGTGTCACTATGGACAGCGTCAAATAGCATTGTAAGAAAGACGAGGCGAGGAAAGTCAAGGAGATCATGGCCCAGTTAAGTAGACGAAGTTGTTGAAAATCGAGGGCTAAGGGGGCAAATAAAACAACAAAAAAGAATGGAGCGGTTGAGAGATGGAAGACAGTGACAACTGTAAATAAAATGCTGATGTCATATTCAGTCTGCGCCGTTATTTGCCTGTATGTAAGTGTTGATTGATAAATATATATCAATCAACGATATAAGTTTATTTATTTGCGTATTTTAATGTCTTTTCAAATGTTGGTGTTAATGATTTATGCAAGTCTGCTAAATAGATTTGTTTAAAGCTATATATTTTGAATCTTGATTGAAGTCGAAATAAATAAATATTGAAAACTGTAGGGGTAGTTAACGTCTCAGGCCGACAAAGAAAATGACTGGAATAGCGCACCAAGTTCGTTGGAAAATGCGCCAAAAATGAATAAAGTTCAGTAGAACCTTGAGTATCCGTGCTGCACGGGACTGAGGACAAAGCACGGATAATCCAAATATTATTGCGATGTTGAAAGAAAACACTCGCAACTAAATCTTTCACATTCGGCATATCCTGCGGCATATAGAGTTCAAACTCTCTATGTGAGTTATGGTGACTACACTATTTTGGTAAAAGTTCAAAAATGTTTCAATTAAGGAAAATTTCGGCAAAGGACATTCATATGTTCTTTGTAACAAGAACTATAAAAGAACCCCTTTTTTTGGAGGTTGGGGCAGTTTTTGGCCTGATAGTCTATGCAGTTGAAAAACAATAGCGACTGGACGTTCTATACAAAGATATAGTGCACTCGACAGATAGATGGACAGGCACACAGACTGCAATACAAAATTATAAACGATCGTTAATAAACGGTAAATGTAAAATTAAGCAAAAACAACTCCTTCCTACGTGCAAGCATTGTTGCAAGCCTCGACACCATAACGAACCAAATATAGCGAAAAAAGTAGAGCTGTAGAGTCGGACGGGCGGACTAAGTGGTCCCACTTTTTTGTATTTTTGTGGAAATTCGCTCAAAACGTATGCCACAATATACCTATTCAATTTCCTGCCTCCAGAATTGAGTACTTAAATATCCGGACCTGAGAAAGATATATCGATATTTTTTTTAATTGGCAAAACGTACACTTAATAAAAGTGAAGAAAAACAGATTCATATAATGACCTGCCCCTTAAAAGTATAACGATGTTAAGATGGATAAATGATTACTGCCCGTTACCCAAATATCTACTTAAAAGTGATGATGATGTGTTTATTAATATGCCATATTTGCTTACAATTATGAAGAAACTAAACCCAAACAAACGAGTTATTTATGGTGAATTGGTCATATATACAAAAACGTCAAACCCGTTCCTAATCCTAAAGCAAAACATTACTTACCATATACATATACAATTCTCGATTGGTTGGCGAATTATATCAAGATATGTTGTACCACCAAATCATATTAACTGTATGTGTTCTTAATAAATGGCTAGTAATGAAAATATTGAAAGAAACAACAATATCCAATTTCGACCTGAGGTTGCTGATAAGTTATGATGCTTTCTTGAGATCTATTCCCTGAACTCCTGCTACTTATATATGAATATTTGGGAAGAAACTTTTTATGGAAGGAAAATTGCGACAGAGCCAGTTAAATTTATTTACTTACTTATTATTCTCTACCAGTTATTAAAAATAGTTGTAAACAGTATAACTATATAGGTACTATAAAGCTTGGTATTTGCGCACTCCTTTGATTTTCACTCTGAACTGTACATACTGTCTCTATTTTTTTATGGATCGACTAACATACTCCAATTTAGAGTGTAAAGATTAAACAGCGAGAGTCCGAAAGTGTTTGATATTTAAAGGAAGGTTATTAATGAAAAGGAGAAACCGTACCAGGCTCAAAATTGGGGTACTGCTGCTATAGCACGAAATGGATCCGATACCTTAGAATGTACAAAATGTAAGAACATGCTTAATAAAACCTTCAAAATGACATTTTTTTAATACATAGATTAGTATGTAGACACAGTAGAATGCAATCATTATTTTTTTGACAAGTACATTTTTGCAAAAATCTTAATTTTGTTTTTTTGGTCACTCTGACTGTTTCCTTCTACATTCCTTCCTTCCTACATTCTCCTTCACAAAGTTCTAATTCAATAAGAGATACTGTAATGCAACCCCACAAGTCATTTTAGCGGTCTGTTTCAATTGGACCAGCTATAACCATCCAAGATGTGGACCTACACAACTTATGTAAGCATCCATTACCTACAAAACACCCATCTAAGAGAAAAATATCTGTTGTACATTTTCTTGCTTTATATTAAACTCCTACAAAACTCTCCTGAACCTTAAAGCATCTTAGTCAGAGCTGGGAAAGTTACTTTGATAAAGTAACTAAGTTATTTTCCATAGTTACTTTCCAAAAAGTAACTTAAGTTACTTGAGTAACTAGATACTTAGAAACAAAAGTAACTTAGTTACAGTTACTAGTAACTAAGTTACTGTTAAAAAAGTTCTTTTAAAAAGATACTTTCGAGTTGCTTGCTTCAAATTTCAACAAACAATAGGAAACAGCTGAATACTGAATAACCCAAAGTTTTATTTTCATATTATTTCGTTCACAAGCACAACAGTCTCACGTTTACAACTAACAAGGTAAATGGCGAGTTGCAATTTTTTTATAACCATCAGCTAACATGAACAAATATCTGCCGATGCGTCACTGGGCGCCGCCGTGCTGTTGTCGAGTCGCAAATTCGAAAAATGTACAGATAAGACATTTTGAGTATATAATTACAACGGCAATGGTAGGGTGCATCGACATCTTATTCATACTCCTACATTACATAATATATCAAATATCAGAGATAAAAAATTGCACTTTACCACTGGTAGATACCTTTTATCATCTCCTCAATATTAAATTATAAGTAGGACTATTTTTTTTTATTGACATTATTTAAACGCTGTGAGATCTAAAAGGTATTTTGAGGAATAATTTTATAATAAATAAAAAGTAACTTTTCGGTAGGTAACTAAGTTCTTTTTAGGTAACTTAGTTACTTTATAAGTAACCAAGTTCCTCTGAATATGGAAAAGTTATAAGTTACTTTTAGAAAGTAACTAAGTTACAAGTTACTTTTAGTGTTATTTCAAAAGTAAGTTACAGTAACTTAAATTTTAGTTACTTCCCAGCTCTGATCTTAGTGAATCAAATCCAAGGTATCAAAATGAAATGTCCACATCTAGTAAGCAAGACAAATGCATCTTGTGGAAAGCTTCTCACCAATAAGCATCAGTCATTTAACCGTGTAGGTGGGTACAATACAGCATTTTTCAAGTTTTACTTTTAACAAAAGAGAGAGACAGAGAAAGAGATGAAATAAACATGTTAGTTAAATAAATTTTATATTCAAGATCCAACAAAACAAAATGTTTCCTAATGAATGTATAGGTACATTGAAATTAAACCTACTATTGTGAATTAAATATGAACTCCTGTTGTCATTTTTAAATTATCTACTATTTAATACTATAGAATACTAACCAAAAATTATTTAACAAAACTATCTACAATGAAGAATTAACATTGAATACCACTACTAATACTACTGCAACAATTATCAGACATGTCATTAATTTCATAGGTTTACAATTTATAGTAGTTAAAAGGTTCCCTACTACTCTTACAACATAAATATATACATAAATTGGAATGAGCGTATTTTTAAAATACAACTTTTTTCATCTACACCTTGTCACCCATAGCAACCTTCGCCACCTGTATAAATAAAATACAGCTACCGTTTGTTGGTTAAATAACAACTTACCATGTAAATGCCAACGATCAGGCCAAAAAGACCAATGGCACTACCAAAAATTTCAACAATCAGAATTTTGACAAATAGTGCAGAGTTCGCCGCATCTGCCAAAGCTGCCCCAGAACCAACAATACCTACTGCTATTCCACAGAACAGATTCACAAAGCCAACTGCAACTCCAGAACCGAACATTAAATAACCAGCCATCCAATTTTTACTTCTAACATTTTCATTTTCTTCGGCTACTTTTAGTGAGAAATCCTGCAATATTGGTGTACGTAAGATACAGCAGAGCTAAATAATATCTACTAACAGATAAATAACCGGATAATACAATTGCTGTAATCAGTCCGTAAATTGCCACAGCTTCACAGAAAATGACGGAAATTAAATTCTTGGTCTTGATACGAGGAGCCTTAACGCCACCACCAATAATGCTAACACCAGTCGTATGGATGCCTCTATAAATATGGAAAAGTTACACAGTAAATTAATGCGAAATACTAACGCAGCAGCCCCAACAACCGAAAGTGCAACTGATAGACCAATACCAATTGTAGCCCACATATAAGGAGATGTATCTTCGAGGAACCTACAACGTTCAAAATGTTAAACTTACTAGACATTCTTACATCGATAATTACCATCCGACACTGATACGCTCTCCTTTTCCAGTTAGTACATGATACAGTGCTAAAAAATAAAACATTCAAAAAGGATCATTTATTCTGGAGCTACTTACTCAAAACTGTAATAATCGACACCGCGCTGCCAATGAATATCTTCCCCAGTAAAGCCTGCATCGCGAAGACCCAAGAAAATGTATCGCACTCCTCCCGTAACTCGCCAATTTGAAATTCTCACATAAAATCACGTGAAATTTGAGGAGTGTACATTAAAAAAGGAGTTGGGATGGGAGAACGACTTGCTTTAATTAATGAAAATCGATAATACAGATTCCTTTTTCACAGACCAGCTTATTTACTTACGTCTTCAGCAATCTGTATCTCGCGGATTGTCCTTGCCGTCTATATTTCAATTTCTAGGGGATGGAGATCTTATTCTTGGATGATAAATTTATATAAACTTAACCCCTTCGATCATATGACCCAAACTTAACACTGACAGTTTGCAATGTCAAATTCGCCATTAGATGGCACTGTCTTGTAAAATTTTTTTGGCAGCATTCAACAAAGAGAATAAGGTCACAATGACTTCTTGGGTCTGGGCATTGTATATGGTCTGGGTGTAGGCGCCTCCGTTTATTTTTCAATTAGCAGGTCGGCTTAATAGAACCACTTTTGTTTCATAGCGACACTTCTGTTTAAAAGGCTCCTCTTAACATGTGTATTGTTTGGACCGTCATCTGACTGGTCTGGCATGTGTCTTTCCTAAGTTCCTATCTACTGTAACATTATTAATAGATAACCGCAGTTGTCTGATTCAAAACCCAACGGCATTGTCAACATTTAAATATGGGCTGCTGGGGTACAAACAGTCTAGAATTTTGTCACATTTACACATATGGTCTATTTTATATGTTCTATTTATTTGTTTGTACCCTAACAGCATATGAAACAAATACCTACGTCTAAATCTGTGTTAATGTCGCCCACAAAATGCCCATTCTTCTCATATACATAAAGATGTTAGTTAAATTTGATCTAAGTATCTTGTGCCATCAACTTAAATACAGCAAAAAGAAAACGCTATATATCTAAGGATTAAGTTAATGAAAAAAACCACATACTTCCTAAACATTGATTTTACAATTTTAGTCATAAATCTCTTGATTTTTAATATTTTATCAGTGGTCGAATTGAGTGAGTGGCGCGGGGGTTTGGCGTACCACCACTTTTTATAAATAATGATAATGTACCCCCACAAAAGTACCCGGAAATGTTTGAAGATCGTTGAACAAAAATAAATTAAATTTCACGATTCGTCCCTAAAAAATCCTGCTTTTTTTTAGTTACTTTGATCGCTGCATATTATCATACAGGGAACTTTGATCAATTTTTAAACCAGGTGGCAAATTCTTGAGAGAATTCGACTTCCTAGCTCAAACCATCAGATAGGTAGGTATTTAAAAAAACGCTATGCCTAATGTACACTACCAAAATTTTAATAAAACGAGAATTAGCCGATTCGTCGACAAAAAACTCTTAGTTTTTTAACTGTGATTAATTTAGCTCATGCTAGGAAACTAATAATAACTCTGTGTGAGATACTTAACATCAAATAATTTTTAATTTGCACACTTACACACATAAACTATACACATCTAAAAACAAATTTTAGGGAAATTGTAATAACGTTCACGAGTATTACACATAAGGGCACCCACTACGCTCTTTTACGTTGGCTTACACAGCTTAGATGCTATCTCCCATACTTGCCCGAGAATTCTACAATGAGCGATGTTAGCTATACAGTTTAAGAAATGTAAGAATTGATTATACCATATATACTCCGACAATTAATCCAAACAGTCCAATGGCACTTCCAAAAATTTCGATAATTAACACTTTAACGAAAAGAGCGGCATTTGCGGCATCAGCTAATGCTGCCCCGGACCCAACAATACCAACAGCTAAGCCACAAAACAGATTAACCAATCCGACAGATAATCCAGCCCCAAAAATAACGTATCCACCCATGTAATTCTTGGCCCGTAAATCGTCATTAAATTCGAATTTACTAGACGAATAGTCCTATAACGTTGATGGTACAAAATACAGTACTAAAGTAGAATTCAACTTACTGTAATAATTCCCGATAAAACAATAGCCATAATTAAGCCATAAATCGCAACCGCTTCGCAAAAGATAATGGAAATTAAATTTTTGGTCTTTATACGTGGAGCTTTTACACCACCCCCCAGTATACTAACACCTGTTGTGTAAATCCCCCTATTTAAAGATGAATAAGATTTTTGAGAATATTTAAGGTGATTTCTTACACTGCTGCTCCAACAACGGATAAGGAAACCGAAAATCCTATACCCAACGACGCCCACATATAGGGTGAAGTACTTTCAAGAAACCTTAAAAGGGGATCAAATGTAATTGTGATTTTCAATAAACGTAAATGACTTACCATCCCAAACTAATTTCAGTTCCTTTTCCCGTGAATAGGTAATACAGCGCTGTCAAGCATAATTTACAAGTCATATGATTTAGTTCATTTACTACAATTTTGAAATTTGCACTTACCTACAAAGATCACAAACAAAGACACTGCTAGCGAGAATAAGTAAGATAAATAATAACGCATTTTTAATTGCAATATTAATAAGTTAAGCAATTGAAAGAAACTAAAAATGGATTACACAATTTCAGTGATTTATCTATCACAAGCAGCACATGATGAACTGGTGAAAGGTGTGTAGGATAAAGATAAGGCTTATCTGTATAGAGGGGATAAAATGAGTACAGATATGTCTAATATTTACATTTTAAATGTAATTTATTTTATATAATACAGAATGGATCAAAAATTACACTATTTGCAAGTTGACCGATGTCCCTTGTGTAAATATCTAAGTATAAAAATACATTTTCAAAAACTGTAATCTACATTGAGAACAGTGTATGTATTTTCAAACTACCCACTAGAGGCAGTTAAATCAAAAAGTAGCTCAGCAATGGAATTGATCAATTAGATTAGCAGATTGTATCATTCACTGTATTACTGCAAAGAACATTAGTATAAATTACAAGACAGGTATCACTACTTTTCTAACCAAATGAATTTGTATACATTCGCTTACACAAAATCTGTTTAAGAAAAAATAGGAATATACGCATCTAGTCAAAGCATTAGAGAATGCAGGTAGCCATCAATGTTTCGCACTCCAGCTCAAATAAGATATAAAAACAACTGTAACTCTTCCTTTCGACATAGGAAAGCAGGCAATATGGTATGAATGACAACGTGAATTACATATACCCTACGTACGAACCACCTTCAGCATGTAATTAACTCCCATTCATTAAATAAGTTTCCAATAATAATAATGAGAGATGTAGAAACTACTCGTTAAATTGTAAAGCAATATTATGATCAGTGTAATGGGAGAGTTTCGTGGAGGGTTATGGTGTTTTTTTCGAAAATTACAATAGCGCGCATATATTTCAAAACACAGGGAATAATTAAATATGTATAGTAGATGATGAAATTTCTTGCAACAAAATCAGGGGTAACATGTCTTCAACAATATTTGAAAGCTAAAATGAATGGAAGCAGTACGTGTGGATAGCAGATGCTGGAGAACTCGCACTAAGAGGTGCTGCGGAAAAACATATTTGAGATATCTAAATGCGTCGCGTCGCGGAGTTTATTGTCAGAAATTGAGTCCTTCTACATGTTATCTTGTATAATGGTGATGTAAACAGTCACAATCTGCTTTGTTACTACCTCAGTTGAACACTGTAAAAAGTAGCTCAAAATCAACAGCAATGCCTGCAAAAGAAGGAAACAAAACTAAAATCGTCAAGTTTTAAAGGAAATTTTTGTAGTAGAAGTGTGGATATTGAAAGAGGACCGCAAAAGCCCAAAACTACTTCAACTAAAACTAGTATTTCAAAAGAAACTACTGAGCATGTGGTCTGCCACTGTGACGCTTTGATCAGGAACAGACATCAACTCCTTGGAGACAGCTATCTGGAACCGGGGAGGGTGAAGCAACTTAGGTTAAAGGAATAATTGCGCGAAAAAAAGGGGGTATGCACAATGGGCCTCTGGTGTGCCTAAGTGCTGCCTGGTTCGGCTCCCCTATGAATAGAATAAAATAGTACTTCAAACACCAAGACAACTGAAAGTAGAAGACATATAAATCACCTCAAATTGAGGAAGATTACACTAGTTCGTGCGCGCGATCATGATTTTTAATGAAATTCTATGACTATACTTAGAGGTCATCACATCAGTTTTGGAAGACATTTTAAAATGTATCAGAACAATTAATTAATGGTCATATGTTCTTATATGACTATTTAATAGTGAGTGGGATTTCAGTCACCATCAATATAAACTTACAAAACTACCATGATCGAACTCAAATTTGATTTACGGTATCCCATCAGTTAGCTAAAACTGACTAGCTTACCTAATTGTACCAGTTACAAACGTATGATTTGGACGTGGTTACTGGTAACATTCTGGCTGCTACAACAAATTTTTGTTTTTTCTTAAGCCCTGTACAGAGTTTGCATCATTTTTGTGCACCTGTGCTCTGGACTACCCTCAAAACCAATATACGCTATCAACCATTAAACTCTCATAATGTGCGATTGGTTCTCCCTATTATTAGTGCATTCCGTAAATAATTACTATTTACAATCTAATTTACACGGTCAATTGTTGGCAAGATACTTGAAATTTTAGATACAAAATACATGACGTCTGTCTTGTATTTTCATAAAGGCAAGAGTGACAAATTTCAAGATACAATCTGCTATATTGTACAGTTGAAATTGAGCAAAAAAGTTTACATTACCGAAGACATTTCCAAGGCACCAACCTATGTTATCACAGAATGAGTGTGCATTGCACGAATTGAATAAATAGTATCATTTCACCACAAATTCGTTTCTATATAGAATGAAGAACTCTATTGCATACAAATTACGTATATCTTATAACAATTTCACTGGTTTCGTTATTGTCTAAGGTTTATCAAATAATAAATAGCATTCTCGTTAAAACCACATATGCGAAATAACGTCCACCTTGATCAATTTCTGGTTCATTATTATTATTATATTATCTAAGGCCTGCACTCAAATTATACCTAATATTATAAATATGTACTTGCACTTTTAATGGTTATAAAAACACGAAATTAAGATTATAAATAAACTGATTATAAGTACTACTTGGACCAGTTTTGGATATTATATCACGAATTTTACGAACCCCAAAAGTTCTGCCAGGAACGTCGCACATGAAAAATTGCATTTATTTACACAAAAATTCTTCTATATGCTCAGTTTGTAATTGTCTACCGCAACTTCCTGAAAGCAAATCCGTTGGTAATGTGCAATGAACACAAGAAACCTACCTGTGATGCTTGTGCCCATACGAAGAATGTACGGTATTACACTGTCGATCTGAACTTGTCCAATTAATCCCGCAAAAAATAATTCTTCTAGTACTTGCGGGTCTAACGCACGCAATGGTGAAACACGAAGAAGCAATCTGTAAAAACACATAACGATTTTGAACCACAAATGCTTACACAACTTACCTAGGAAATCTGTCAGTGTCATCCGGAAAACTGCTAATAATATAATTTTGTAACGCTTGGAAGGACTTTTCTTGAAACTTTTCTACTTGCTTGCGAAACAATAGCTCTGGTTGATCAGGTGAAAATAATCGGATTGCTTTCAAGTATGCGTACTCGTGCTCATCTACATGCATACGATTGATTGTGGTAACGAAATCTTGCAGCTTTACAATGTGGTCTGTAACTTGTTTCACTTTAATCGCGGACATTTTATCTTGCGCTATTGAAGTGTGCAAGTGACTGACAAGTGACGACAAAATGGTAGAGAGTGACAAGGACTGCGAGCACTGGGCCAAACCGAGAGCAAATAATTCGACCCAACATCCTCGGAGCAATGTAATTTGCGTATCTGCGCTGAAATAAAAGAAAACAGTGGTATAATTACAAAAATGTTACACAGTTTTTATCAAACAATAAATTCAATTCGTGACCCTTTTCACTAGCGGTTTATTTAACGAACTATGGTGCCTCCATCTTAGTAAATCAGTCTAAAAAGATCAGCTTTTAGAGAGCTCCTTCCAACTACTACCTATCCTGATTGCTTTTAGTAATTTTGAGAAACCTATACTGTTCCTTAAACCCAAAATTGGCCGAATTAAAAGAAAAATATTTTCTTCAACCAACGTCAACATCTGAATGTGAAAATTCACATACTCAGAGCACATGCATTTTCAGGTTGTGACACAACCAGCGCTGTTTACGGCAAAGGTAAAAACAGCTCCTCACACTCCTAGACAAAAATCCTGTTCTACAATACTGTGCAGCAGTCTTTAACAAGACCACTGCTACATCTGATGAAGTGTGTATAGCAGGACTTGGACAAAGACATGGCCCCTGTAGACATGGATGTCGATGATCTCAGTGATTTTGGGGATGATTATTCTTTTTTCCACTTTATTCAACAAAAGCCATTCATATATCGCAAAACAATGAACCTATAAGTATGGGTATGGTCTCAAAAAATTACACAGAAACTGAAACTTCACGCACTTAATTTGCAGAATGTGCACTTTTTAAAGCTTCCCCTCCTCATTACCCTAAGAAGGGGGTAGAATTCGGCAGATCCTCATTTCTAGTGCCAAGATATAGGTATAAACAAAGTTTCATTAATGTACATGTCAATATATGCAATAGTCGTTTTAGAAAAGTGCCCAACATCAAATAAAATAATTAAAAGGTAGTTCAGAGACAGAAAAGTGCAACACTCGTCAATTATAGTCTAGGTGATAAAGACATCTAACTGGACATTTTGAGGTGTTAAAGAAAAAAATGGTGGAATATGTTCAGTTAGGTGTCAGAAACAACATATTAAAAATCCCACCCCCCAGACTCTGTGCTAAAGGCTCCAGCCACCCCACCATCCCCCAAAAACCGTGTTTTTGCTCTTTTTGGCTGATATCTCGCGATCTATGAGGTCTATATCGAGGCCTATATGAAATATTTTTAGGTGAAAATATTTCTTGGGAAATTTCATACAAAGTAGATACTCAGAAGTTAGCCTAGGTGTACCTCTTAGCCTAGGAAATTCATAAAAGGGGCGAAAATAATCAATTTTCGTGGCTTTTTGCAAATATATCGCGACCTTTAGGGCTAGATGGAATGAAAATATTCATTGTAAAACAAAGTATTTCTTTAGAAATACTTTGTTTTACAATGAATATTTCCTAGAAATACTTTGTTTTACAATGAATATTTCCTCACACAGGAAAGTTGAAGGTGAAAGGTGACTTTACGCCAACTCTTCAGTTACCTATCTCGTATGAAATTGCACGAAGAGCATTTTCAGCTAAACATATTTCGTCTAGCCCTGAAGGTCGCGATATATTTGCAAAAAACCGCAAAAAAAAACACGAAAATGATGATTTTCGCCTCCTTTTATGAATTTTCTAGGCTAAGAGGTACACCTAGGTTAACTTCTGAGTATCTACCTTGTAAGAAATTTCACGAGGAGCATTTTCAGCTCAAAATATTTCATCTAGCCCTAAAGGTCGCGATATATTTGCAAAAAGCCACGAAAATTGATGATTTTCGCCTCTTTTATGAATTTCCTAGGCTAAGAGGTACACCTAGGCTAACTCCTGAGTATCTACCTTGTATGTAATTTCCCGAGAAATATTTTCAGCTATAAATATTTCATATAGACCTCATAGATTGCGAGATATCAACCAAAAAGAGCAAAAACACTGTTTTTGGGGGATGGTGGGGTGGCTGGAGCCTTTAGCACAGGGTCTGGAGGGTGGGATTTTTAATATGTTGTTTCTGACACCTAACTGAACATATTCCACAATTTTTTTCTTTTCCACCTCGAAATGTCCAGTTTGCCAATTTTACAGTCTCTATCGCCTAGACTATTATAGGTTCATGTATTTTTTTTAAAAAACGAATATGGGCATAATGTAATAATGTTCACTTTTAAGCAAAACTCCCTGTATATAGTAATATTTATAACCAAAAACATTGATTATATACTATGAACCAGATAGGCCACCTCTTTAGTAATAAAATGGGATACCTTTTTATCACTTGCACGTTAGTAAGAGAGGTATTGCATCGGGGTAAAAAATGACCCCTCACCTTTTTGACGGAAATATACGTTTTGAAGAACCAGGAATTTGAATCAAACAAAATCTCAATGTCGGTCTGTCTGTCCGTACTCTCATTTCCCCCTAAATGGATTAACTGATTGGAAACAAATTAGGTACGCATAAAGGAAGAGCAGAATCGCGCATGTGCAGGTGATATCTGCGCCTAGCCGCAGCGAATTTTTATAATTTGCGTGAAGGCGTATGTCTCAGTACGTGAAACATTTTCGCTTCAGTCCATGAGTCCATTTCCTATGAGAATCGTTCATTTTAAAGAAAAAGAGAGTGTCTACCTACAAATACTACTAGTAGCAGATTTTAATTTTATTTTTCCTATTTTCAATAACAAAATGATATATTTACAACCTGTAAATAAATAAACAAATGAGAAATATTGAAAATAAAATCTTTCTTCGCACTTACAATAAAAATGGACGTGAGACCTAGCTAATTTTTTTGATAGTATTTGGCCATCAGCAGCATATACCTGCAATATTTAGGAGCTATCGGCAACATCCAAAGAAACCCTAGCTACTTAATGAACTATAAACAACTATTACTACTTCAAGTGTTGAATCACCCGGAAGCTTACCTTAAAAGCTGAAAAGCCGGTATATTTCGCACCCAGTGTACGGAATGAAACAGAAGTCTAGAGCCACTTTCACAAATGTAATGCAGATTAAGATATGGAGGTACAGGTCCCGGTATTTGCAAGTTAAACGTAATGTGCTGGTCCTGAAGTAACGGGCCGTCAAATTCGAACGCCTTATCGTCAGTTAATGTAGGAAATTCGTTCCCGTTTAAACACTGTATTCGAGCAATTGTGTCGAGCGCCTTCGAAATGATCTGTTTCTCCTTCGCGACCGATAGTGAATCATTAAGCTCTCCGCCCACCATATTTACGCTGTCCATTGAAACATCGTCCTCCACACAATTAGGGGTTGGCGACATGTGATATTGGAGATCAGTTATGCTATTACCTAAGGATATAAATCATTACCCCGAACTTATTTTCTGTGATTCCTTACCAAAACGTTTATTAAGGAAGGGTAGTGCAAGATCACAGGGATTAAACGAACTTGGTAGAATGGTGGTGGCATCCGTGGATAAGTCTTTGCGAATAAAAATTTTATTCACATTCGAGGAACAATATGGTGAGCCTGCGACGCTGCTGTTGAATTCCTTTTTGTCGACGATGGGTTTGCGTTCGTGCTGCACAGCTAAAAATGAAATTGGGATTATAATGGATTGCAGAGTATATGCAACTACAATCACTTCGCATGCCACAAGCCAAACATTTTTGCAGTCTGCAATATTGACATCGATTACGATGATGTTTTGTGACTTCACAGTTCTTCGTCCCTCGACATTGATAACCTAACTGCTTCCTGATGGACCTTTTGAAGAAACCTTTGCATCCCTCGCAACTGATGGCACCGTAATGTCTGCCCGATGCTCGATCTCCACAAACAACACACAATTCTACTGTTAGACAAATGCTGTTTGCACTACTTCTATTTTTATCACTATGCATCTCCACCTTCACATTCGATTCCATATCCATAATGTAACACTTTGATATTTATATTTACAAAACTTAACCAAACTCTTAAACCAATTGCAAAAAAATAACAGCAGTTTGAGAAGTGCCGTATCGTTCGCGTATATACAAAGTGCACATTAATTAACAACGTTGTACAGTACACGTATTTCCATTACTTTAGAATTTAATATGTACACGAAATAAAGTTTATAAACAAATTTACACGTATCATTTTACATATACCTGTTGCAATCAACTTTTTATTAAAAATTAGAAAAATTAACTATTTCTGGTCGGCCAGGACCGTACTAAGGTGACATGGAGGTGCCCTTCAAAATGGCGCCAGTTTGAAAAAAAAAACACCTCGTACACGCTAATGCCATACAAAACGCAAAGCATATCTAACTGAAATCAGACGAGTAGAGTCAGAGCCTTCTGTTTCAATAATAAGGTCATTCTCCTGGACAGGAAGCAGTGGGTGAACTTCAAATATGCGTCTTCTAAAAGTGAATAGAAGTCAGATTAGGAAGATCACCAGTGTCCTTAGGATGCACTGGATGGTCAACTATCACAATATTAGGCTTGTAGGAGAGCCCACATGCAGGATCTGTGGCAAAGCAGATGAAACTACTAAGTATGTGGTCTACTGTGACGCTTTGATCAAAGACAGACATCTAAGCACAATGGGCCTTTGGTGTGCGCTACTTGGTCAGGCTCCCTTTATGAATAGATCGAATAGAAATAGGTCCCAAACTCCATCTTTGAGGATATTGATGTATTTTGCAAATTGCAATATTACTTTCAAAATAGACCACCTAGAGAATGGAAGATTTTATTATATTAACTTAGCTTCTATAAACTTATTGTTGGCAACCACCGTGTTATGATAATACATATAAGGTATTCCTACCTCTAGTATAAATTCAAAGTGAATCTAGTTTATGCTCGATGCAATTTAAGAGGAACCGGATACATTCTCTCAAAGAATCACACTTCCATAATAGTCTTCTAATGGTAATCATAATCGCGCGCATTTGTTTCAAAATGCGTGGCACACAAAAACCAATAGGAAAATAGTTACTAAAGACGCAAATACCTTAGAATGCTCGATTAATGTGAGCTCCACAGCGTCCGCACTCCATACTCCGCTCCACACATGCTTTTTATCCATTTATTTTGATTTCCAGAGTTTGTATCTTTATGATGCAGACTAAATGCACTACACTATGTTTAAGGACTTTTGGACGCCACAAAAGTGTGTATTTTTAGCTAAAAGTTCCTAGGTTTCTATAACAAGAACCCTGGTCAATAAACTGACAGCACAAAGAAAATTTCTTCGGTTGCAAAAAGCATCTTACATACAGTGACCACGCGCCTCACTTGCAGGGTTTAATTAAACATTTCTTGAGCCCCCTCTAGTTATGATAAAATATGGTGTCCAAATCAGCTAGTCACATTATTTATGCAGTTATGAGATTTGTATGTTTTAGTCTATATTTTATGGTACAACATTAACGGTAAACATTAATTGTCACTTTTTAGTTACCAATGTGTAGCAGAAAACACTTCTTAATACTTCGAATTACTGAACAAGATTTGGTATAAAAATGAATCGATTCCTCTCGATAGGTAAGTCAGTTCCATTTCTTCTCGTTATTTTATACCTGCTTACTTTGCCTTATAAAGAACAATTCCCAGCCAATGTTATTAATTTATTTTTAAAAAACAAGTTTTCTTCGAAACACGTGGCAAAGAAATTATCACATTGGTTTACTCACTTTAAAGGTCACATTATACATTATAGGTGAAAGTGTTATAAACATCAACTCCGATTAACATAATACAGAAGAAACCTACAATAAAAAAAAAATACACAGTTAACACATTTAGCACACATGAAGATTGCTGTCTAAACCTAGTATCAATATTAAGATCGAATGAAAAGGTATTGCAAAATTTTCAAGGCAGTAAACGTAACGAAAACTGTTGAGGAAGTGGCAAGTCAAAATAAGGATATTCATAGCAACATCAAATGGAGGCATCAGGACGATACAAGATTGTTAATGGAACAGTACAGATTATCTTAAACAGTAGTACAAAAACATTGTGAATTAATTTAATTTAATACATTTTTTAAATACAAAGCAAACAATAAACAAAACACATTTTGGTCACAATATTGTTTCATGCACATACAATTTGCAACTGTCGGAAACAAAGTCGTTCACGCATAGTGCTTAATGTGTTAATACATTGTACCAAGAATGCAAAATCATACTATTAATCTAAGCGTAATTAAGGTCTTTCTTTTTTTTAAGAACAATGTCCTTTACATTAAGATGAGCAACTTTTTCTTTTCGTTTTGGAGGTACCGATTGCTGGCAAAAGCGCTTGAATGCCTCCAACTCGCGCTCCTCTGCATCCATATCCTCTTCAAGCACATCCCTCGGAGTGAAAACGCTCTCTAAACAAAAGATTTAATTGGATTCACTATAGCACTATTAAGGTTTAGGGTGCATCAATTTAGAACACTAGAAAGTATTGTAATATTATTGCATTTAAAAGAATCATTAAAAGCAATGTAATTTCTGATCACACAGTCGACCTTCCTTATTAAACCATTTTACACACTTACCGAAAGGCCAGTCGTCCTTATCGAAATTAAACTTATCTGTACCATTAGCACCACTATTAGTAGGAATAATAGAAACTTCGGCGGGCTGCGAACTTCTCTTATGTTCCGATTCATTTCTCGTACTATTCTTATCAACCTTTGTTATTTCTATACCGGGTAGACCGGATAAAATCTCTTGTGCGTTAAACGACTTGTTCTCAAAATTGGTCTGACACATCGGTATATAGGATGACGGTACTTCCGGTCCGAACATAGGTTTTAGGTCCGTTAGGAAATTTGATATAGGAGATCCGTTCTCGAAATTATTTTGTAACCTAGGACTGCGTATCGTCACCATTCCATTTTCATTCTTGAATATCGATGCCTGTTGGTTGGCGGGGTACATGGATAAATCATTAGTATCAGTCACTTTATTACATAGCGCAGTTTGCAAAGTGTGAAAAATGGGATTTTTTAGAGTGACCATCGACGGCTCAGAACCATTCTGGTTATGTTTGGCAGGTACTTCCGGCTGCTTACCGTCGCGTTTTTTCTTATTTTTCTTTTTATTCTTTTTATTGGCAGTGGCCGTAATTGATTGTTGAATCAATTTTTCCGTATCTACGACTATAACTCCAGATTTGCTTACAGGAACATTTGGATTTTGATTTGCCGCAGTAGAGGAGGTGTTATTAGCATTCTTGCAATTTCTATTAGTAGGAGGCCCTTCTATTTTCGTAATGGTAATCCCTGGAGGTAGGCGTAACATTGGAATACTAATTTCCCCTTTAGAGTTGTTCGCGGATTTTTGTGCTGCAGTCTTTTTGGTGGCCGTATCTTTTTTATTGTTTGCAACTTTTGGATCATACGCTTTTGTTATTTCGCTCTTGGAGTTTTTCTTACCTGAAGGTTCATTTCCGCTGTTCTTATGCTTATCTAATGCTATTGTCACCCTTAATTCTTTTGAAATACCGTTACTGACATCCTTTGGCAGCAATGTAGGCGGCAATTCTTTACCTTTTTTCTTTTTCGCGTTTTTAGATTGCACGTCCTTATCCTTCTTGTTTGAGATAATCGGATCTTTGATAGTTCCGTTTTTCATTTTATTATTATTTTTATTATTATCCTCGTTAATTGTAGCTGTTGCGATGTGTTCTTTGTCATTATACCCATTAACCAAAGTAAATAACAATTTATCGGATTCAGGAGTGGACCCTTTAAGGGTGATAGTGACTGTTGCAGGCGTATCACCACCTTCAGCTACACGTTTTATAGTAACCATAGCTGGTATGGTCTCTTCTATATGTTTAGGTTCATTCTCTTCTTTTGTGGCACAGTTTTTATTTTTCTTGTTTTTTCTAGTACCTAAAAATCATTGTATACAACTATTCACCAAAACATGTCAACAAACCTTGCTTCTCTTGTGATTGATCATCTGCTTTCTTAGCCTTTTTCTGCTTTTCAGCCAATTGTTTCGCTAAAAGTTCAGCTTTCAGTCGTTCTTCTTCCTTTAGCTTTGCCTCGGCCTCCTCCTGCTCTTTCTCTTTCTCAATGCGTTCACGCAATTCCGCCTTAAACAAAAAGTCAAGCTTTACAATCTGAAGTAAATTAATTAAAGTTATCCACCAAATCAACTGCTAAGAGCTACGATTTTGCACAGGGTGTCATATAAGGATATAAAAAAAGCTATAGGTGACTGACCTGTCTGTTGAAATAATTTATAATCTAGAATGTTTAAAAAATTTCAATCAAAACCTCTGTTTAAATTGATATTTCACTCAATGTAAGAGAGCAAGATCATCAAAAAGGATCTGTAGGCCTAATCCACCTGTCTTCAAAATGTTCAAAGATATGATGGGTAGAATGAGCCGGCACTCCATCAAGTTTTCCGCGGGTAATGTTTCCAAGGTTGGTACAATGACATCTACTAAGGCGTTTATTTCAAGGCCTTCTAAGAAAATTATGCATATAATGGTCACACTTTTAGAACATCTTAAATAAAACGAAAACCATAACAGGTAGGTATATGGAATGTAATAATTGATCGATGTAGAATTTTTTTCGACATTTGAAAGTGCAAACAAATAAAGCAGGTTTCATTTGAAAAATTAATTAATTAATTCCATCCTTCTATTTGTTCTCAAAATTAAACAGGTAACACAACTTTTGGGACTTTTTGGGACACAACACGGTTTAATTGAAAAAAAAAATGTTGTGGTCAGAGCTGGGCAGAATACTTTCAAAAAGTATTTGAATACTAAATAGTAAATACTTTACACAAATCAAAGGTATTTGAATACTAAATACTTTTACGTCCAGCACAAGCGAATACTAGATACAGATACATAGAAAAGTATTCAAATACTTTAGAATGTATTCGAATTCTTTCAAAAGTATTCTAATACTATCAAAGGTATTCGAATACTATAAAAAGTATTGGTTTTTTGGTAAAAAAGGAAGGTTATACACTGCCTTTTTTTGAGGCCCGCAAAAAAAATTGTCCCAGATCGACCCGGAAAAAAATTCTCTTATAGAATGTGGCCTGTAGAATCCATAATTTCAAACAGTTCCAAGATTGGGCTACTAGTTCAAAAGTTACAGCCCTTTCAATTTTCTTTCGAAATTGGTTTCTAGTCTATAACTTTTGATTGAGAAGTCTGATCGAAAAAGTACGAATTGTTTTGGATTCTACGCACCAAAATTAATAAGAAAAAGTCTTTTCCCGAGAAATTTTGGTGCAGTCGATTTTTGGTAAAAAAGGAAGGTTATACACTGCCTTTTTTTGAGGCCCGAAAAAAAAATTGTCTCAGATCAACCCGGAAAAAAATTTTCTTATAGAATGTGGCCTGTAGAATCCATAATTTCAAACAGTTCCAAGATTGGGCTACTAGTTCAAAAGTTACAGCCCTTTGAAATTTCTTTCGAAATTGGTTTCTAGTCCATAACTTTTGATTGAGAAGTCCGATCGAAAAAGTACGAATTGTTTTGGATCCTACGCACCAAAATTAATAAGAAAAAGTGTTTTCCCGAGAAATTTTGGTGCAGTCGATTTTTGGTAAAAAAGGAAGGTTATACACTGCCTTTTTTTGAGACCCGAAAAAAAAATTGTCTCAGATCGACCCGGAAAAAAATTTTCTTATAGAATGTGGCCTGTAGAATCCATAATTTCAAACAGTTTCAAGATTGGGCTACTATTTCAAAAGTTACAGCCCTTTGAATTTTCTTTCGAAATTGGTTTGTAGTCTATAACTTTTGATTGAGAAGTCTGATCGAAAAAGTATGAATTGTTTTGGATTCTACGCACCAAAATTACTAAGAAAAGGTGTTTTCCCGAGAAATTTTGGTGTAGTCGATTTTTCGTAAAAAAGGAAGGTTATACACTGCCTTTTTTGAGGCCCGAAAAAAAAAATTGTCACAGATCAACCCGGGAAAAAAATTTTATAGAATGTGGCCTGTAGAATCCATAATTTCAAACAGTTTCAAGATTAGGCTACTATTTCAAAAGTTATAGCCCTTTGAATTTTCTTTCGAAATTGGTTTGTAGTCTATAACTTTTGATTGAGAAGTCTGATCGAAAAAGTACGAATTGTTTTGGATTCTTGAGTTACAAAAACAAATACTGCTTCCATAAAAGTATTTAATTACAAAGTATTTGAATACTTTAAAGGATTTGGATACTAAAAAGTATTTACAAAATCGAATACTGCCCAGCTCTGGTTGTGGTTCTATCTACCACTAATTTTTTTTGACATACTTACAATGTTACACCTGTACACCAATTCATAAAGTAAAGAAACCTTAAGCACCGGAGCACAATTGGTATAATAGGAGGCTTACCTTTTTTAGTCGTTGTCGTGCCTTCTTATCAGCTTTTTTCTGTGCCAAAGCAGCTTTGTCGATCTTCTTGTTACCTTCTATGTAGTTAAGGAGTTCGTTAATATCTCTGGATCCTATATTATCGGAGCTTAAAGAGCTAGTAGAAAGGGAGGACACTGAACTTCTAGGAGGATAATCGCTTCCGTTACGGGCACCTTCCGGAACAGCGCGAGAGACAGATTTTTGCGTGCTCAACGAATTTCTGCCGTTCAACGCTTGGAGTTTCTTAGATTCTAATGATGTCAATGCCGACTTTTTATTAGAGGCGGGTGGCACAACGTGAACGACTTCGGGAACTCGTGGAGGTCCGCGTGAATCTATTTCGTTTGAATTTCTTGTATTTACAACAGTCTTAGGGGTATTTGAGAGTTTTGACGAACCATTCACAGCTGCTATGTTCGATTTTGTATTACCGTTAGGCACGACTTTCGTTGGTAATTTATCTTTTTCCTTGCGTTGATTCAAACGAGTTCGCAGCCTATCACGCGTTTCGTTTGTTTTAGGTGCGTGTGACGGTAACGACTACAAACAATTTAAATGTTTCGTTAAGAAATACTAAAATTACTACTCACCGAACCAAAAACTTCACAAAACGCACAATCACATTTACGAGAATCTTTATGATAATCGCAATAATCACAGGTATCTGGGCAGGAATGTTTCTTATATTCTGAAATGATTGCATTGCTTATTAGATTATTTTATCACACAATAACAAGAAGGTGAATGGGGTTAGAATTATGATCCCTTCTAAAAATTTCTAGCATAGCAGAAATTTCCATTAAATGCAGAGCTTGCGTTTTAAAAGCATTTCCCACCTCGATAATTCAACTGTGTCATTGGGTGAGAACATGTGCGAGCTGTTGGAAGAATCAGAATTTTGGATTTTGAGCCTTAGACGTCGCTTTTTACAGAATCTACAGGGGAACCTTTTCTTTTTCGTCAAAAAGAACCAAACTCTTACTGCGCAAGTGTATTTCTAAAGCCTATTTTACATGCTACATTTCAAGTGAAACAACATTTAAATCTCGAATCTTAGATTTGGCAGCCATAAAATTTCACCTGAAAGTGAAACATTTTGCGTCCACTTTCAAAAAAAGCACATATTGCGCATGCTCTCGGCTAAGATAAATTCAACTTTCAGCATGCAAAACGTCCTTTAAGCAACTCAAAAAAATCAATGTGGATGATCAAAAATTGTAAGCAAAAAAAGCCCCTTGTAGCAAACCGGCTTGACTACCTTAACTTCCAATATTGATTGGCTGAATGACCTTGCATTAATATGAATCGAGGTTGTTCAAGGAGATCATACTTTAAGGCTGTGCAAAGCAGATATTTCAATTCAGGGGAAACCAGAAAAGATACTGCAAACACTCCTGATGGAGCAAGGTGCTTGCTAGGCAGACAAACAAGTTTCTGGTGACAGAAATCACTTATTGGCTGGATTGGGTAAAAGGCACACTGGTAGAAAGAATGCGTAGTACAGGCTTGGCAGAAAAATCCTGTCATGAAGGATGCACAAACGAAGAGACTGTCCATTACATTATTATTTGATTTGCATCTGCATTTGATTACAAAACAAATTACACTCAAACCTACCAATTAATTGTTCTACTTCTTGTTTACATTTCCGTACTTCCGTTTCAACTTCTTTACAGTGGTGACCACAAGCAGCATTGGCACACGTGCTGCCCGTACTAGTTCTCTTAGCTGCGGTTGGTATTGTCCTATTTAAAAATCGAATCAACAATAATTATATTTTAAAAGACAACTTACTTTTGCGCATTAGCATTTTTAAACATTTCCAACATTTTCGTATCCAAGTTGCTCAAACTTTTTTGATGCGGCTTTCGAAATGCTGCAGCTCTGCAACCAAGAAATGACAACGACAACAACGCAAAATATATAATGACATACTCTGTGGCGGCCTTAGGTCCTAAATGCACATTGTTTCCCGACGCTGCTTCCGGAGCGGTTTTGGCGTATTCAACTAGAGTTTGTTTCACATCCGGGCTGTTTTTCAAAATTTCACTTTTTTTGTTTTTTAGATCGGTAACGATGCACTTCAATGTGTCAGTGACCGGACTTTTGGTTACAGGTGCTGGGCTTGCAACACCCTCAGTCTGTGGCCTCACCTCGTTTCTCTTAGAGGCACTTTTCATTAAAATTTCCGTTTCAGTTTTCATAGCAGGAGCTTCACTAGCAACTTTGAAGACCGGTTCTATGATTTTACTTGCCATGTCTTTTGAATCAAAGGTAGGGTTGATAGAAGAATTCCATAAGGAACGCGGCATTTTATGCTTTAGCTCCTCAACGTCCGGCACAAAGGTTTGTTTAGGAGGTGTCTTTTTATCCACACTCTCTCTATACATAGATTCGCTTTTCTCTGATAATATGCCGCTAGTTTTTGAATTCACTATTTTCAAAATAGAATCTCTAAGTGCGGTTTTATTCTCAAACAATCCCTCAAACGCCAAAACATCTGGGCTTTTGGTCATATCGCTTAATCGGGAAGGCTTCTTTGGACAAAACAGCCTCTTTTGATGAGGAGTTAGATAGACTCTGGTCGGTTTTTGAGAAGGCGATTCTTGATGCTTCGCAATAATATGGTTGGTAAGGGATTCTAAAGTTATCGGCTCTTGACAAATGTAACAGCTTATCAGGTGATATACTTCAGGAGATTGCTCATCATAAGGTGGAGGTAGTATATTAGTACGAAACTCTGCAGCCAGGCAGTCTTCGCACAAGCAATTACCTTGAGAATCTATAAGAAAATCCGCTATGTAAGTCGCGTCACCTACTAATGACAAAATGTGCCCATCCAACTCCGCCATGTCCTGCAGTTGCATTCTGAAAACTTCATATTATATAATGCCAATGAGATAAATCACTTTGTTTACGCTTGAGTGTTTCGGATCATCCAATAATTTGTTTTAAGAATTTTTTTGTGCTCTTCAAACATTTTCCAATCATTAATAAGATGTTTAGAAGGATTTGATATTGCCCTCTTTTGGCTGAAAATAAACTGTAAAGTTTTGAAACAAATTGGAAGGGTACAAATGCACCTTAAATTGCTAATTTTCAATTTTAAGTTTGCCCACCGAGACTCTACCAGTGCCATATCTTCTGAAAAGCAGGCGTATGATTCTAATAAACTTTTGTGAGCTATTTTATTTTCTTCTTTTAGCTGAAACTCATTATTTTACTAACACGAATGGTTGAGGCGGGTGTTACCTTATGAAAGAAGGGCATCTTCGCCGACACAGCCGGGCTTTTGTACACATAGTGATAGAAAATACTTTTATTTAAACATAACCAATTGACATTGAATCTTTCCATGATTAAAAAATCAAATTCTGGTAGCAACGGGGCTAATTTACTGGCAGCTGAACAAAAGGCACTATAATACGACATTAAACCTGAAATAAACAATGCATATTAATGCGAGTAAAACCGTAATGATTTTAAATAATTAAAACCTTTCGCTTCATTCCACTGTTTGGTGCGTAGCTGGAAAATGTTTGGAAGGCCAGGTTTTGGATTTGGAGAGATGGATCAGTAAAGGACGTGCTTGCATTTATCTTCAATTGGGATACTATGTGTATACCTAATTACATTTCACTTCAATAATTTCACCTTTTAGCTTTGCATGCAGAATTCCTAGAATTCTGTAAAACATCCTTTACGTCAATTCTGTAAATAAATATATAAAAGAAAATTGTTTACAGATACTGGTGCATTGTACATGCTATGGCTTATGCATGGAGTTACCTACATACACATTAATACAGTACTACTACTAGAAGCCCATGAAACAAGCGATAATCTCAGCAATATAGCCTATTTCACTTTATAATGTCTGTCGGGATGTTACAACCGAAAAAATCGTTTGTTGTGATAGGCTTCTAATACCCCAATAAACAACATATATCAAAATCAAATTTTATAAAATAATTTCGGTTTAAATGTCTGCCATGACTTGGAACCGTGATAATCATCTAATTTTTATATTTAATTAATTGCAATTTTGAACGGCAGCCTTTATAAAATACTTACAAAGTTGGTGAAAGTTTCATACCTGGCGCATCTGAATAACTCTAGGGCCCCCCCGCCGGGCCTAGCGAGACCTCATCTCATGAGTCGTACGTATTAGAAACTCACTGAGCAGATTTTCTAATTTACAAACGGGTTGCCTGCCACTGACGTTTAGATTATTTGAATATCATCTGCCTGAAGTTGAATTAGTTCCATTGGAAAAGATAATAAATGGATTTATAAACACAACAAACTCTTTTTCTCGTGGACGGATATTCTGAAACCTGGATGAATTTGACATTCAAAGAACGCACAACCTCAGCTAAAGCATCCCTATTAAATTTTTTGTGTGCCGATAATGTGGGGAAATAATACATAATTCCAGAACGAAGCTGAGTTTCTTACAGATGGAGTTGCGCTTGAAATGATTTTATGTGAGCAAATAATTCATGAACAAATTGCCCTTGTTTCTGAATATTCCTGTTTAGTCCATTTAAGGGGAGATTCCAGTAGATTTATCTTGAAGATTGAGTATGACAAGTTGCATAACTATTTTATACTAGTGGCATTTGCTAAAACCTGTATCGGTCATACCGACGACGACCGAAGTTTTAACACCGCCCATCAAAATAAGGACAGAGAAACGTTAATTACCTACCTTCTTGCATATTCTTTTGGGATGCCTACAATTGTTAAAGGTCAATATGGTCATTAATAAACTATAATTATATAAAATAACATAATGATGTTTACATTTGTTAATTGGAATGTAATTAATAGGTAGGTACTGTCCGTGTAGGTGTGATCAAATTATTATTCGAACATTTTCTAATCTCAAACAATTTTCAAACATTCAAATTCATATTTTATTTTTATTTATTTATATTTTTTTGTATACTTCAAGGGGCTTTTTGAATACTTCGGGCGCGTAAGAACTGCAAGGCAACTTTTTGAAGGAAGACCTTTTTCGATATGCGACTTTCAATTGTCCTTTTTGAGAATTATGTATTTATTTGCTGAAAAATGTATCAAATTGATCGTATGTTAGATTTGAATGCCTATATGTCGATTACATGAATGAATGTCAATAACGGATTACTCCTTATTGCTCGTGAGGTTATATATCTTTGCCATTCTAACACATAATATTTCTGCTAAGACGTAGGGAGGTTCTTGTTTTATCGATGTCGCGGTGAACTAAGAGCGATGCCACGTTATAGGAGTTTTGAATGTCTTCGAACGTCAAGAAACATAACCGCACGTGCAGTAGTAACAATAATAAGCGCCAATTCCTTTTTGCAACTTATTCATTTCACCGACTATATCTTAATATTTATTTGTTAAATATCACACCCAAAAGTAATTAGCTTTTTTTAAATTTAATTTTCCAACTGCAAATGATACACCTTCAAAAAACATTTGGCGTGAAACGTTTTTGTGGAAAACGGCAACAATTACCTATTTAATAGGTATCCAAATGTCCTAAATTGTTTTTCTTACGGTATCCTACTGTACTTGACTGAAAAGATGAAGTTTAATTATTAATATTAATAAATTGTTATGCACATTTATGGCATTTATCAATTCCTTCATTTATGACGATGTTGATTGCGATTTCAGAAAAAATAATAAGTGTACCTCGTAGTGAAAGCAAATTCCCGAACTCCAATTCTAGTTGGCCTCGGTTATTGTAGTCCGGGAATGTATTGCTTTTACTATACACAATCTACTATTTATAGCCGTAGTTGGTCAAACAATGGAAAATGATTGTATTAAACACGCCCATTTCACAAAGTGAACACAATTAGCTTATAATGCAACCAATAGAAGAGAAGCAATTAAAAGCGATTTGCCGAACGTATACCGGGTGGTGCCTAGCGCGACGCAGCATAGGGATTTCAATGGTAATTTCTTTATAGTCAATTACTAGCTCCCCTAATTATTTTAGAGCAAAAGTCTAAATAAGTTTTTTTTAGAGAAAAAAATACTGAATCTGTTCATGCTATTACTCATAATTTTCCGTTTTTCAAAACCGTAGAAATCGACAAAATAAAAAGGTTCATTTTACAATAAATCAAATATGCCTTGGAATTACCTAAAAAACAGCGATCACGTTTCATTATTTGCCTTTGACGTATATTAAATTTATACTTGTTTATAAATTAGTTAAAGAACTGCAAGTGCAATAACGTTCAAAATGTCCGTCAAAACCATCAGGAAAATAGATGCGATGCGCTTGTAGTTTGTTATAAAGATTCCAAAGCATCACTGATTTATAAAAATGTAATTTTTTATTTTATCCATTTCTACGGTTTTGAAAAATGGAAAATTATAAGTAAAAGTATGAACAGATGCAGTATTTTTTTCTCTAAAAAAAACTTATTTAGACTTTTGCTCTAAAATAATTAGGGGAGCTAGTAATTGACTATAAAGAAATTACCATTGAAATCCCTATGCGTTGCGCTAGGCACCACCCTGTATAGCATGATGTGTTGCCTAACGTTTGCATGCAGTTTTTCTACACTTTCGAAATTGAGCGTTTTTCAAAATTTCGTTTTAAACGGCGTAGAACGATTTTGAAAACCCGATCAAAGGCTTAAAATCTTCCTTACAACCTACTCATCCCGGCTATAAGAGGTTTTTTTTTATGTCCGGGTTGTGCCCTGTAAAAAAATTATTTTTCAAAAATACGAAATTATGGGCTTATAGCCGGGTTCTTGAATAGTTACTGTAGACGTACAGATAGAGACCCTTTCTTCAACTCAGATTTTAAGCGCGTAAAACGATATTTCAAATAACATATTTTTAGGCATTCATGTACAACTGGAATCCCCCCTTAAGTAACCACTGACATCAAGTAAAACTAAATCAGCTAGTCACATATCATTTTTAAGATGTTGGACGTGTTCAGGGTTTCCTTTCATACCCATGAAACTACACTTCCTCTCTTAAATCGTAAAACCGCATTAACATCGTACCTCTACTGAGCCAGCGCACTTGGAAATAAAAAAATGTGCCAAATTCTTGATGGCTTCTTAGCTTAAACCAAAAATTGCTCTTATGGAAGTGTTTTTCAAAAATGGTAAGTAAGTGAAGTGGAAAGTTTATTATTTTCTGATGTAAAATAAGAATATTCAATAAAAAGTATAGGTTTGGGTTTCTATCTCAAAAAAATAGTTGCCCTAGACTTGATCCTTAAGGGACAGTTATGGGAAAATGTGCATAGCGTCATAAATCATCCACATAACGAATATTTTATATAAATTAGTTTCCGCAATAATCCACTGTCTCAAGATAAACGGGACACCCTGTGTATAAATCAAGTGATATTCAAATATAAGATTACAAAAGTGGTATAACGCAACTCACAAAAGAAATGACCGCTACACTCCAATTCATCTCGCTTATGCAGGTACAGTTCACATCAAAGTATCGTATATAGGTAACTCGCAATTTCATACTTGGACAAAAACCAAATTTACTCTCTATTAAATCAATCATTCTGATTAGTTCACGATAGTTGATATTTTTTTACGTTCTCTCGTAAATACCTCGGGCAGGGCTGCGATTTCACGCGCTTTTGCTTACTTTTTTATAAAATTCCAACAGTCCCCACGTTGTTGCTCTTTTTTTTTACTGTTGTTTGTAATGCTAATATTTCATTTATAGTCTACAGTCAAGCAACATTGCTCATGGTAGTACTCGTATATTTGAATGGGTAACGACTCAAAAACCTGTTAATAAAAAATGTGTGTTACTGATTGAAGACAGTTATTTTTTACTTAGGCACACTTGCGCATGCGCGATTCTTTCAGCTCTTCTTTTTATGTCCATACGTGCACCCAAATTTTGTTCCAAGCCGGAAAATAAGAGTACAGACAGACATCACCAAGATTTTGTTTGATTCAGATTCCTGGTTCGTGTATTTCCGTAAAAAAAGTGTGGGGTCATTTTTTATCCCAATACCTCCCTTACTAACGCGCGTGAGTGGTAAAAATGAGTGGTAGAGGGGCCAAAACAAATATTGTTTTCACATACACCATAAAATTTTGTATCTTCAGAAATCTGAACAAGAAAAAAACTTGAAAATTTGAAAAATATTTTTCAACTCAAATTCTTCTAAGACTTTCTGATAATGGGGATGTATTTATCAGATTTTTTAACTTTAATTTGATATTAAATAAAATTGCAGTATGTTCCTCTCTGATTATTGCTTTTTTTAAATTATTATTAGTATTATGTATTGATAATTTAAGTGCATCGGAGGAGGGCATTTGAGTATCATCTACGTATTGATAGTTGCTAAGTTAATGTTTGGTACGTATTTAGGCCACATGGAAGAGCAGTGCCTTCATCCTTTTTCCATCCGTTCTTTCACTTGCAGGGGCGGACAGGCACGGGGGGGCGGGTGGCGATTGCCACCTAGCCTGTAGATCATAATGGCCCATTGGAAATTTATAAGTATGTGCTGTATTTAGTTTCTTGCACTATTAATAAATTATTAACACGTTTCTCTAATTGGGGTTGATATTAGGTTGTTAAAAAAATCTGTTTTAATTGAAGTGTTTTACAATGAATTTATCATTTTTTGTCGTAGCATGAAAGTGCTGAAATACAATGATAGGCGACGCACCTCGTGTGGATTGTATATTTTGTTACTTTTAATTATCAGCTGCAATTTAAAAAAAAACTGTATGGTAATTGATTTTCGAGAAAGGAGTACTTTAACATGGTTTTGTGGTGCACCTCAGAGCTAACCCCCCCCCACGCCACCTTCATTACTACACTAATACTTTAATGGCCCGTAAGTACCCAGTCCGCCCCTGTGTATAGCCTTCCTTTTTTACCAAAATTCAACTACACCAAAATTTCTCGGGAAAACACTTTTCTTATTAATTTGGGTTTGGTGCGTAGAATCAAAAACAATTCGTACTTTTTCGATTAGACTTCTCAGTCAAAAGTTATAGACTAGAAACCAATTTCGAAAGAAAATTCAAAGGGCTGTAACTTTTGAAATAGTAGCCCAATCTTGGAACTGTTTGAAATTATGGATTCTACAGGCCACATTCTATAAGAAAATTTTTTTTCCGGGTCGATCTGAGACAATTTTTTTTCGGGGCTCAAAAAAAGGCAGTGTATAACCTTCCTTTTTTTTTACCAAAAATCGACTACACTAAAATTTCTCGGGAAAACACTTTTTCTTATTAATTTGGGTGCGTAGAATCCAAATCAATTCGTACTTTTTCGATCAGACATCTCAATCAAAAGTTATAGACTAGAAACCAATTTCGAAAAAAAATTCAAAGGGCTGTAACTTTTGAACTAGTAGCGCAATCTTGGAACTGTTTGAAATTATGGATTCTACAGGCCACATTCTATAAGAAAATTTTTTTCCGGGTCGATCTGAGACAATTTTTTTTGCGGGCCTCAAAAAAAGGCAGTGTATAACCTTCCTTTTTTACCAAAAATCGACTGCACCAAAATTTCTCGGGAAAACAGTTTTTTTTATTAATTTTGGTGCGTAAAATCCAAAACAATTCGTACTTTGTCGATCAGACTTCTCAATCAAAAGTTAGACTAGAAACCAATTTCGAAAAAAAATTCAAAGGGCTATAACTTTTGAACTAGTAGCCCAATCTTGGAACTGTTTGAAATTATGGATTCTACAGGCCACATTCTATAAGAAAATTTTTTTTCCGGTTCGATCTGAGACAATTTTTTTTCGGGGTTCAAAAAAAGGCAGTGTATAACCTTCCTTTTTTTTTTACCAAAAATCGACTACAACAAAATTTCTCGGGAAAACACGTTTTCTTATTAATTTGGGTGCGTAGAATCCAAATCAATCGTACTTTTTCGATCAGACCTCTCAATCAAAAGTTATAGACTAGAAACCAATTTCGAAAAAAAATTCAAAGGGCTGTAACTTTTGAACTAGTAGCCCAATCTTGAAACTGTTTGAAATTATGGATTCTACAGGCCACATTCTATAAGAAAATTTTTTTTCCGGGTCGATCTGAGACAATTTTTTTTTCGGGGCTCAAAAAAGGCAGTGTATATAACCAGGGGCGCACTGGCCCGGGGGGGGGGCGAGTGGCGATTGCCACCTGGCCTGTAGATCATAATGGCCCGTTGGAAATTTATAAGTATGTGCTGTATTTAGTTTCTTGCACTATTAATAAATTATTAACATGTTTCTCTAATTGGGGTTGATGTTAGGTTGTTAAAAAATTCTGTTTTAATTGAAGTGTTTTAGAATGAATTTATCATTTTTTGTCGTAGTATTTTGAAAGTGCTGAAATACAATGATAGGCGACGCACCTCGTGTGGATTGTATATTTTGTTACTTTTAATTATCAGCTGCAATTAAAAAAAAACTGTATGGTAATTTATTTTCGAGAAAGGAGTACTTTAAAATGTTTTTGTGGTGCACCTCAGAGCTACCCCCCCACCCCTCCCGCCTTCATTACTACACTAATACTTTAATGGCCCATAACCTATGCAATTCCACCTGGCCCGCAGTTACCCAGTCCACCCCTGTTCACTTGTATTACTTATGTGTCTGTTTTCTCTTTTTGTTTTTTGGTGAAAATAAACCAACTATTGCGATTGGTATTTAATCGACACATCTTCCCAATAAAATATACAGACATAACTGTATTTTTTGTGGATTTAATATCAATCGCAATATTTCATATAAGTAGTGCCCAAACACGCATCTTTCACATGCATATTTATTGCTCTATCGTTATTGCTAATAACACAAGAAATATGCAAAATCCATGCTAGATAAGTATTGCTAATTCACACGTTTTGGTACATACAGCATGGATGGAAAATGTGTGTGAAACTGAAGAAAAGTGTGACCATAGGATTGACTAACTGTATTACATAAAATTAAAATAATGCTTACTGATTAGGTACGAAGAAACCTTGGGGTATCGTAACGCATCAAAATGTCCTCTAGTAACTATAGAGTACTCCCTTATTAAAGTAACTAGACGGATGCAGAATTGCGTGAGATCTTCTTGCATTAATCTGAAAGATCGGAATGTAGTTAACAATACTGGAATACGAAAACGTACCCTTCTACTAGTTCGCGTATTTTCTTAATAATAACATTCGAAAAAATTTCGTTACTGTTGCAAGGCTTAGACGAGATTACGTGACGATATATGTAATAAATATAATGTTGAAGAGCTGACCAGTTCTTCAAGGGTGCTGGCTTAGCATTTCGCACTTCATTAAGAAACGCGTTAAGTATAATTTTTTCGGATTCCAATGCGAGCGTATCTTCCGTACAGTTTTGGAGGGAGTCTTTGTTTACCGACTGAAAGCAAGGCTTAGAAGTACATCTGCATATAACAAAAAAATGAATTACTTTATCGAAGAATTTGAAAAAGTAATCAGTGTCGGCTATTAAAGGTTTCGATGTAGGAGACGAGTTGGATGCTCCATGCTCCTCCAAAGTGGCTCCGTTTTCGAAATTGTTCAGTTCTAACTCAGAATCTTTAGAAAATAGATTTCCCATTGTGGGAAATTGGTCCAAATTAGTCGAGATCTCTTTTTGTTTGTGGTCAATTTCAATGTCACTCATTATGGACATCTAGTTTAAGCTAAAACATTAAAATAACAAACGAATCTCGCGATTGAAAAAAACGATCGTGAAGTTAAACAACCACTTTTCTAATTGTAGTAACAATTCGTGAAAAATGGAGTCAAAAGATCATGCGTGTGAGAGACCATTCGGGAAATTGAGGTGTGTTCAAAATAACCTGAAAGTGATGTTCACAATCGCCTTAATACATCATTAATTTCATAGATGTCAGGGAGTTTGCTTTTTTTACAACCGAAATTATTCATAGACGAAATAACGTCCTTATATTAGGCAGGTCTGAGACCACACCAAAAACTTTTAATTTTTGAACACTCTAATGTTCGTAGGACCAACAATTACAATGCTTAGAAAGAAGACTCGCACTTTCATCTTATTATTTAACCATGTTCTGAATCCGTCACATGGAACTGCTACTACCGAGACGATGATTATTTTGAGAAAGAACAATTGACTACTATTTGGAACAATAATATCTTGTCAATTTT